TTTTCTGAGTTTGTTCATGTAAATGTAAAAAACAGCACCATTTATATTATTTGTAGCCCACTCTTCATTCTGCAGTTCATCATGACCATCTTTCTGTGTCTCTAAATGTACTTCTGCAGCATCTTTTCAAATGATGTCACAATTAGATAGCGATGACAATAATTTGTATAGTGCTCCATAGCTTACAAAGCACTTGTAAGCTCATTTCATTATCCATTATCTCATTTCAGTCCTTGGCCTTCCTGCATGGAGGTCTCTGCTTCCAAAAGTGGTCACCCTGCCCCTTCACACCTAGGCTTCCCACCCCTGAAAGTCTTTCCATAGTCCTGATGTCCAGGCAGACTGAGATTTGAAGAGATGGAGGTGGCCAGGTCCCTCCTCCAGCTCTACTTCCTACCTGACCCAGCTGTCAGCTCTGACTTTTGTTGTCTCATTTCCTGTGGACCCTTTGTCAGAGCCTCAGGTTTTCTTCCTGACTGCCGTGGTAGTCTTCTGGGTCTCATCTCTTCCTCTTCCCTCTCTCCTGCACCTCTGCTTCTTTTCCTGCCCTGTCCAGTTCTGTAGGAGGATTCAGCCTGACACAGACTGAGAGCTGGAAACCTGGGTGGGTTCTGCTCCTTCAAGAAGGGACCCCCTTCATCTCCAGAGAAGACCAAGCAGAAAGTCTTGCTGTTTTTGCTCACAAGTGAGGAGCTTTGGAGGCCAGACTCACACAGATTAAAGGGCAGGTCAGAAACTTGGGTATTTTCCAAACTCCTTTGCTGTGTGTTGAGAGACTCCTGAGCTCCTGTCTCGTTGATTTCTGTGTCTTTCTTTCATGTCCCATTTGACTGTCACACCTCACAACATCCCTGGAACCCTCATCCTGTCCTGTCCTGCCCTCTAACATCTGGAGGGCCGCTTTGTGCAGTTGGGGAAGGAAAGAGCAGAGGAAGGAAGCAAGAAATGTCTTATGTCCTTGAGTTATCCCTCAATGCTTTGATCCTAGGACTCCAGTCCCCACTTTATCCTGTCAGTGCCTCCCTCCTGCCTTGTCCTTACTGCTCCTATCCACAGTGGGAGTGAGGAAGGTGGGGAGGCCCCTCTGATGCCTTGTCTTCCCAGGACTGAATGAGGGCCACATTGAAGCTGGGGATGCAATATCTCCTCAGTCAGCAGAATTCCTGGCAGGGTCCAAATGTTCTGATTTAGAAGGGCACATTCCTAAGGTTAGGGGAATGCAGACATGCAGGCCCAGTGGGTCACCTTGGCATACCACCCCATTCTGAACACTCACTCTGAGGCACTCCAGACCTCCTTTAAATAGCAAAGAACAAAACTTTTTGCCCTGTGGCTCCTTTGAAGAACTTTGATTCTGTTAGGCAGCAAGTGTAGGTGAGAACTTGATCTCAGCTCCTATCGTGTACCTGAGGTGACTAAAGTACCCATGGCTCTAAATGCACGTCAGGATTTTCCACGTATCCTTTGCCTTGACTGAACCCTGGGACTCCACAAGTGCCCTTTGATCCTTGGTCCTAATGCATCCCCAGTCCCTCATCTGGATTTCTGATTTGGCACATGTTCAATGTCACTTTCCCCATCCTCTCCAGTGGGAGATAATGCCACCTTACTGGTCATTCACAGTGACCTAGAGGGGCTCAATTTCATGGTGGATGATTAGGAGATGACTCAGGTATTCAGGCTCTCTGAACCTTGGGCAATAAGGGGTGCGCAGGGGGTGACAGCATGTTGACCACTAGTCTCACAGGGATGGGAAGAACCCAACACTTCTTTCCCATCCTGGGCAGGCAGTGTTGTGAACAGTAGCCTCTGTTTGGAAGGAGGAAGACTTTTGCTGTGTTGGAGCCATGTATCTTGCCCTTTAGCCCCCAACAGAAAGTTGGAGAAGGCAAACCACTCAGAGACCATGGGAGGAGGTTCCATAGCATGTACACACTAGGCCAAGGGAATGTCTACTTTCTCCTCCAGGATTGTCTACTGGCTGTGTATCTAAGACCTGGTACCCTGTCATCCAAATTCTCTAGAACTTGGATGGAGCTCAGTGATGTTGGGTGTGGCATAATAGACACCACCAAGAGAAGGGGTGGGATGCTGCTCTTTCATGTCCTTGTACCCCATTCATCACTCCATGCAGTGACAGCCAGGAACCACCTTGGCTGCAGCCTTCTGCTCAGAGGTTGGAGGAGGAGGAACTGTGAACCCCCTAGTTGATGCTGCCTCCACCAAGGCCTGGTTTGGGGGCACTGCCCTGCTGACCTCAGGCCACCTTTACCCCTTCCCTGGGTCCCTGTCCTTCTCTCCCTGGAGAACTCCAACCTGTTCTCCTACCCTTACAGAGACACAGCAATTGTTTCCAAGCTTGGAGGGGGTGGGAAATGAAACCCATAACCTCAGCATCCTTCTTTTCAAGTGGAGGACCTGTCACAAGGCCACTGAGACAGTTCCAATGGGACAGATGATAAACATTCTGGTCTCTACTCCATCCTTCACCCTCTAGATAGATGCCAGCTATTTGTTTGAATTCTGAATGAGTCTGGAAGATAAGAAGGGGCCCAGGAAGGTGCTTCTACATTCTCTCTCTTAGTCACTATAGTTACCCTTCTTCCTTTGTGGAAAGTATCCATCTCTCCCTCCCAGGTCAACTTACTGTCTGTCTCCGGCTATCTCTGAGACAGAAGACATGTCTTCCCTCCATGAAGCTTCCATGGGTACTTGGGAAGTCCCACCTCCACTCTCTTGATGCCTTGGTAAATCCACCATTTTTCTGGGACATGGGTGGCTGCAGAGCTTGTGTTCTAGCTTTCCTACACCTCACTCCAAGCTCTCTGGGGGAGCTGCACCTCTCATCTTCACAGATGGAACCCACAGAGAGAATTTCTGAAGCTATTTTCTTCAGCTGTCAGTTCTTTCCTGCAGTTCCCCAACATCCAGGTGATCAGCACTTCCAAAGCACATGATGTCCTACACTGGCAGGTTGGGGGCACAGTGGGGAAAGGATTGGCCCCACGCTATGCCCTGCTAAGTGTGCAAGTGCAGGTATGCTATGTGCTCTGAGTGTGTGAGTCTCAGGTCAAGGACTTTTACGTGGAGTCTCCCCCCTTCCCTTCTCTTGGAGGCCTTGGAGATCAGCAACCTCCCCACTTTTCTCCCACAGCTGCGGTTCTGCTGGCAACCATTAGGGGTCAGTGTTGCTTCAGTCACCAATGCAAGGCAAAGGCTGAAGGCTGCTGCTTCACCCACACAGGTGGTCCTTGCAGCCCACCCTGATCCTGTCAGTGTAACAGGGTAGTTCCTGTTGTAGAGATGGCCCTGCACAGATTCATACCTGCTCCACTGAGGCTCTACCACTGTGATTTGCAGGACAGCTGCCAGAATGAGCAAGGGTGCTTAGTACATGTGGCAGTATGATAGCATGATTGCCATGCTTCTGAGAACCTGGATGTAGGAAGCTAAAAAGCTGTGAGGGACTTCACGGTGGTAGGATGCATGCACGAGGCCGTGGGTTCCATCCCCAGTACACACACGTACACACACACACACACACACACACACACACACACTCAAAGGTTTGATGCCATTCTTCTGCACCTCTTCCCCTTTAAATTCCCTGGCATTGACATTGACATAGTCTGAACATTGCCTCCTTGTACAACTTCACACACCCCAAAGGCATCTCTGTTCATGGAGATACTAGCCTCCCAGAATAATCACAGGGAACTAGACACAGCCCTGCTTGGTGTGGGTGTCCCTTGCCTTGTTGGGGGCATCTAGCATGGACAAGTGATGTCTTCAGGGCCTCTCTTTACCCCATGTTCTGTCCACTTAAAGTCTGTCTTCTGACTTTCTGGAATGAAATGTCTGTCCAGTAGTCAGATATAGCAAGGAACAAAATAAAGATGAGGTGCGAGAGGCTGGCTGGTTTGGCTGGGAGCCCCTGTGGGGCTCAACCACTTCTGGCCTTGAGTGGGAGATAATAGCAAGATTGTCCTGTTTCACTGCCATGGCAACCCTGGGCTGCTGGGGTCCTCATGGTGGTGGTGTTTGACAGCAGTGTATTTATCCTGAATTGCTGCCTTAGGGTCACCACCTCAAGTCCCCAAGGGGGGAGACAGGAAGTTCATCCAGTGTCAACGCCATATAGATGGAGAGATAATGGGCTGCCCGGGACCAGGGTACAAACAGACCTCGGCATTTATTGTGCCTTCTCCAGTCTTCCCGTGAGAGGCGGGGGTGGGGGATGGGGTGGGTGAGAGGAAGAAGGAAGACAAGGCTCTTAAAGCCTTAATGATCCAAGGCTAATCATCGAGGGGAAGACTAGAATAGGTGGTGAATGTGTACCAAGGGATGCCCCTGGGGAAGAAGGAAGAGCACCAAGCTCGGGGGTCCCTGGGTGGGGCAAGGGGAGGGCAGGCTCACTAGGGCCAAGTTGGGAACCCACTTGCTCAGGGTCTTGGGTCTCCCCACAGCCCTCATGTGCAGCAGAGGGGAGGAGGTAAACGCAGTGGACAGAAGGGGACATGGATGATATGGACACACATCCCCACATCCCAAACATGAGTGGAGAGAGCTCCAGACCTGGCTCTGATCTCTCATCTGATTTCAAGCATGTTGACAGATGTCCACAGGAGACTCAAAGCTAGTGGCTGGTGGGTGGGGTGGGGGGAACACAGCTCCTCATGACCCTGCCTCCAGGATGGGTAGCTTTTCTTAGTCTGGGTAGGTCTCTCACTCTGAGGGCAGGACACAGCCTGCTCACGGTCTAAGGACACCTCTGTTGTGGCCTTACATGCTTTCCCATGGGCTCAGACTGCTGAGGGACTTTCTACATGAGTTTGCTCAGATGTTCCCCTTTCCAGTTCCTGTTTTCTGGCTCACTCTTAGCCAATCCCTGTCCTGTCTAGGCCCGGGAGTACAGTATGAACATTTGGATATCTCACAGTCCTAAAGGTTAGGTCCTCTCTGCTCATGGAAAACCAGCTAGCTCGGGAATGGGGTGACCATCAGTGCCTTAGACCCCCATTTGGGGGATTGTAGTCTGGAGACCCATTTGAGGTTGGGGGGAAGTCAGGCTCTGCATTGGTGGATAGCAGGGAGGCCCTGCCTCGCTGGCACTCTGGGCTGTAATAAAAGGAAAGAAGGCGGAAGGAGGGCCGCAGCTCCTCCTGTATGCTGTCCAGAATGTGGGTGAAGGTTGGGCGCAGGCGTGGGCTCGGCTGCCAGCAGCGGCTCATCAGCTCCTGCCTGGTGGATGTGTGTGGGGGGGCAGTGTCAGAGGGTACTGAAGCCCCAGTAGCACCCCTATCATGTGCACTGGGAGATTCAGTCAGTGGGGGTAGGGGCATTATACTGGTGAGGGTCAGAGGGGAGTAACTGGGGAGTGTAGTGGAAATTTAAAATTGGGGGCGCCTATGGCTGGGGGTGAGTGGTATAGAAGCATCTCAGGAAGTGGGCCAGCATCATGGGGGGGCGGGTAACCAGAGCAGGGATGTGGGAGGGGCAGCAGGGATGACTCACAGCTGAAGCGGACAGCCCTCCAGCTCCTCCAGGACCCCTCCATCCATGACGAACTTCAGTACCTGCTCGTTGGACAGGCCCTGGTAGGGTTGTTCAGCCAAGGTTACAATCTCCCAAAGCACCACACCAAACGACCTGGAGGACATAAAGGAGGGCCTGAATCTAGCACCCTTAAGGCTGCTCAGTGCAACCCAAGGGAGGGAAATGTCTCAGGTCCCAACCCAGATGCCACCTCCAATCCCCAGAGCCTTCTGCTCCTGCCAGGCCCCACCAGACATCCGAGTGGGTGGTGAAGATTCCGTCCTTGAGGGACTCGGGGGCCATCCAGCGCACCGGCAGCAGCCCCTTCCCACCCTTGCGGTAATAGTCTGTCTCATACACATCCCGAGTCATGCCGAAGTCTGAAAAGTGAGGATGAAGGGAGTGTGGAAGTCATGCATCGGCTCCTGCCCCAGGAATGTGCCTCCCAACCTTCTCTACCTCCAGAGTCTCCAAGCATCCTGGAATGTGAGGACACTAAGGACTGCAGAGGCCATCCCATCTAAAGCCTCTGACCTTGGACAAGGAGACTGAGATATTGGGGTGGGGTGGGTGGGGGGGGGATTTGCCAAAGTTCTCATAGGCTGTCAGTGACAGAGCTGCAGGCCAGGCCCAGCTCTCCTATGCCTAGTTTAGGGGAACTCTCTCTACTCTTCAGCCTGCCCTCATCTGCCTGCCACCCTCTGTACCCCCGATTTTGACAGTGAAGTCCTGGGACACCATGCAGTTGCGGGCTGCCAGGTCTCGGTGCACAAACTTGTTGGCGGCAAGGTAGGCCATGCCATCTGCAATCTCACCAGCCATCTGTATCATATCGCCTAGTGCAGGCCGTGGGAGCCCAGGGTTGTTCTAGAGGGCCGGAGGAGGCCCAGTGGTTGAAATTCTAGAGGTTGAGAGAGGGAAGCTCTTTGAGATCCCCACGGGTCATTAACTCCATGATGACTAGAGTTGGCTGACCCTGAGACACCACACCCAGGAGACGTACCTGAGATGGACAGAGCTTGATTGAAGTTCTATCCATGTCTCATTGCCCTACCTGTCTAAAACCTTGATTTGCTGTGACCTCAACCTGACCCAGACACCCACTGTGATCCTAACTCCAGCCATGACTATAACCCTAATCCTGACCTAACTGTGACCCTAACCCTAACTCATAACCTTGATCATATCTGACTATCATCACAGTCATGAACTTGGCCCAACTCTGAACTTGCTTCCACTCATGATCCTAATAATCCTCTGGACACTCAATATTGAACCTCAACCATAACCTCAGCTGGAGCCATGATCCCTGACCCTTATCCTGAGCCTGGTTGGTCTAACCCCAACCATGACCTCTGTCCCAATTAGGATCCAAACTACACTTGAATGCCTTCATGACAGAAGCTTCCTTGAGAAACTCAATGCGTTCTCGTGCACTGGCCAGCTCATTCACTGTCTTCAGGGCCACAGGTGTGGCCTCATCTCCAGCCTCAAGTCCTCGTGCCAGCCCCTCATACACCATCCCAAAAGAGCCCTGACCCAGCTCCCGGATTATGGAGATCTGCTCCCGAGGCACCTCCCATTCATCAGGGACGTACACTGAGAGAAGGTGGGAGTCGGGGGCAAGGATGCCACTCTCTGCTATGGCTCTACCCACTTCTTGCCTCATCTGAAGTACTCTGGTCCCAAGGCCACCCTCTTCAAGAAGGTCTTCTGAAAGTCTGTCTCTCCTCTGCTTCCATCTCCCTTCCCGCACCACCTGTCCACCCACATCCAGACCTACTATTAGAGGCACTGAAATACTCCGGATTCACAGAGGTATACAGGGTGCTGCTTCTGCAATAGGGAGCAAGAGATCAGGCTGAAATGGTGCCCAGGAAGGAATGAACAATGCCAGAAGGCAAGGAAAGGCTATCTGGAGAAGGAGGGTTACTGACCTCCCCCAGCCCTAGTCCGGGATACCCCCGGGGAGCCCTTTCCAAGCTTCTCTTAGTCCTAGTCCTGGGATCAGACAGGCTAGGAATAGGCAGACATAGGAGGAGAGGGGCTCCTGTCCCTCAGGTAGTCCCCAGGGCCCAGCTAATCAAGGTCTTGCCTCTACTTCCCTCTCAGATTCAGCCTCAGAGGGATCTGACATCAAGTGTCCTGGGGCACATCTTGAGGTCCCCTGCCTGATCCCTTGCTATGGCAGGATCAACTTCACTATTTCTCAGCTTGAACCGACAGTGCAGCCACCAACAGTCCCAGTGCGCCCAGACCAAGGAGTTTCCCAGGATATGACACTTTCCCTGCTGAAACAGGGGAAATTCCAAGCTAACAGTATGAGTTGTTACCCTAGCTGACAGATATGTCTACTCCATGCCATTGCCAGGAGAAGAGTTCTGCCTTTAAGGACATCCTTTCTGCTGTCTGATCTACCATCCTCTGACTGTGCTGACCCTAGAATAAGGGTTCAGAGAGAGAATAGGATGGGAACCAGAGACTTGTCATCACCTCTTTTTGCCATAGAAGAAACCGAGGGCTGCAAGAATGATAAGCAGCATGAGCCCCACGGGGGTGACTGTAAGGAGGATGTGCAGCCCCCCGGAGTCCTCTTCCTCTGGTGGTCAGAGGGTGACAGAGGGAAGGGTAAAAAATTGAAAAGTCAGAGATTAGTCTCTTCAAACATGGTGCAATGAAGATGAGGCAAGGATGAGGTGAAGGGGCCCATGAAGGCTGAGGACCAGGTAGGGCTGTTTGGACACGAAAGTCTGTGTACCTGGACCAGGGATGTAGAAGGCGACACTGTCTGTCCAGGAGCCATTGCCAGCCAGTGAGGTGGCCCGAACTCTAGCAGAGTAGTTTCCAGGGGGCAGCAGGGCTAGGTGAACCCCACCAACTTTGGCATATCGAAGGCGGGAAACACACAGCACGGTGGCCTCCTGAGAATAGCACAGAACACTGGCTAGGAAGGGTATGGAAGCACAAAGAGTGGCTGGGATAAGGGGTGACCTATGGTACCTACTTCTCCCAAGCGACGATACTTGATTTCATACTTGAGGATGAGTCCATTGGGATCAGATGGCTCAAGCCAGTGCAAGAGGACACTGCTCTTGCTGGCTGCCTTCCAGGCCACCTTCCCTGGGATATCATCCGCTTCTCCTGCAGGAAGGGGCATATGGTAACCAGGCCACAAGTAGTTCCTCTCTTTCACGTTCAAACCCAAACTAAACTGGGAGATTTGGGGAAGCTGTGGAACTATGGGAACTGGGAGGGGCGAAGAAAGCAAGGCTTGAGGTTAGTGGGAGGTCGAACCACTAGTTAGAGAACTGATTGGGCAGAGTCCTTGGGGGTCACTGATGGGGACAGAAGGTGTGTATGAGGGCCACCTACTGTGAGGCATGGTGCGGGCAAAGACGAAGGTGGCGGCGCTGCAGCCCACGGTGTGCGCCGCGTGGTTGCAGGCATGGATGTCGATCCGGTATTCCGTGAAATGGCGCAAGCCGCTCAGAACCGCTCGCTCCCGGGGAACCTTGTCCTCTTGGATCTCAAAATCCGAGCTGTTGCTTCCTAGTCCGCGGGTCCCTGCTGCCCGGCGGTGCCTCCCGGAGTCCCTGGGGAGGGCGTAGATCAGAGCCACTGCCAGGTCCCCCAAGCCCCGCCTCTCAGTCCCCTGCCTTATCCCAGCTCACCTTTGGGGGCTCTTGTTGATGGACGTCACCTTCCAAGGGGATCTGGGGAGGCCAGGGGGGGCCCTATCAGGCCGGATTAGAACGAGCCCCAGTGCCTTGTGCGGGGGGAGGGGAACACCGTCCCGCCTCCAAACTCACCCACGAGCCGGGTCCACTCGCATACAGGTCCCACCCACAAACCTCACCTTCGCATACAGACCCGCCCCCCAGGCCCCGCCCACCAAGCCCGCCCAGCTTGCGTGTGCCTGGTCGCACTTGGGGATGGTGATGGCATTGTGTAGAAAGTTTTCAAACTTCTTTTGGAACGAGGCTTCCTGCGCTTCCAGCGGCGGCAGGACCTGTCCAGGAGGTGAGTGTTGGCAAGGGCAGCAGCCAGGCTCAGTCTCCGCCTCAGGTACCCCGTCTTCGCGGTGGAAGCGGGGGTCGTGGTTGCTGGTGGGTAGCCGCAAACCTGGAAGAAAATAGAGAAGTGGTCTACCTGCATCTGACTCCCAGCCCCTGGTCGGATACCAGCATCCCGGCGGCCTGCGTCTCCTCCCTGCGCACCGCGGTGGCAGTAGTCATTGAGGTACAGGTCGCCGTCCTCTGCCAGCCGTTGCCACAGCACCAGGTAGTAAGTGATGTTTCCGTTGCGCTGGTTTGGTGGCTTCCAGCGAACCAGGAGGTGGGAAGAAGAGTTGGACGTGGATATGACGTCTTGGGGCACTGTGGGTGCTGGAGGGTTGAGGAGGGTAGAATTCAGTGCCTGTGAGTTCCCTTTCCAATTGCTATCAGGTAATGAGCCTCTCTCTGAGGTCCATCCCCTCTTCTTCTGAGGAATAGGCGATCTTCAACTCCCCCCCTTCCTAGAAATATACAATTTTGTGCATATGTGTTTTTCTAGAGAGAGGGTTCGTACATTTCAGCGGCTCTGAAATGTGTCTTTCCCTTCACAGGCCCTGAGTTCACTCAGCTCTTCACTCTCCCAACCCCAGCCCCTTATTCTTTCTAGGATTCAAGTATCTAATGTCCCACCTTTAGCCAGGTGTTCAGTGCCCCTACTTCTCTGTTTCTGGGTACCTGGGCTCCCCCATACTCATTAGGATGCAGGCATCCAACTCAGGCCCCCTCCAAATACTTCATCCTACCTGCTGGCAGGGTACGGAGATAGACAATAGGACTCTGGGCTCCTTGATGGGGACTGTCCTCAGCAGTGGTCAGTGTGATGGCCCGCACAAACACTGCATACTGTGTCCAAGGTTTGAGGGGGGCTAGGGTCACCCCTGGTTCCTGGGTGCGGCTTAGGGGTAGCTCTACATCCAGCAGGTTCCAGCTCTGGGTTCCACAGGCATCTGGACCCACGTGCTCCGTGGCATTCTGGAATGGGCTGAACACCCCACTCCAAGAGCTGAGGGGTTGCTCAGCCCCATCTTCAAACTCTAGCATCTCTCTCCTCTCTGAACCACCCAGAACAGTCATTGCCATTCTTCCCCTATGAGGGCAGAGTCATAATTCTATCCAAGCAATAGACCCTGTGGGCCCTGTGATATCTGCCACCAGTCAAATTTGTGATGAAATAGCTCCTTATCCTTAGCAGGAAATATTAATCTCAATGAATAGCAAAAAAAACTTAGCATTATACAAATAAAACTAGACAATGGGTATGAAAATCCCCTCTCTGGGAATAGTAAGCAATGAGGTTATTCTAATCCCCCAGGTGGGGTTGCAGGGAAGAAGAACCAGGAGACCACTCAAGGGCAGAGTGTCTTAACCTAGACCCGTGCATGGACTTTGGAAGTCTATGAACCTCCCAGATTATAGGCACAGTTTTGTGCGTGTGTGTTTTTCTAGAAAGGGTTACTGGTTTTCAGCAGCTCTCAAACATGTTCATAATCCCAAAAGGCAAGAGCCACTGCTTTGGGGAAATTAACTGTGGCAACCCAAACTGGCTACCTGGGGGCAGGGCAGAGGAAGGCCTTGAGGACACATTACTGGCTTTAGGGATAGAAGGGGAACTGATTCCTGAGAGGGATGAAAGTAGAGGCCACATCAAGGTGGATTGTGAGGAGACCATGGGGCTTCACACTGATGTTCATGGTATCTGTTTCTTTGGAGGGAGGCAGAGGGGTGGAATTCATGTTGTACCAGGGACAGAACTTGGGGAAGGTTAAAGGGGTTGGGAGGAGGACATGAGACCCAGATGACATATCTGCCTTTGCCTGGACCCAGCAGGATAGTCAGGGAGCAGGGGTAAGGGGATGCAGAATAGGTGTCATGAAGGCAAGTGTCTTGTGGGATAGGACATACTGAGTAGGCCTGGGTCTGCTTAGAGCCAAACTGAACCAGAATCCAGTTTCTGACTGTGAGGGCGCACACCACAGCCATACTGCAAGGTGTGATTTAGGGGAGCATCCCACAGGATTCTTTGCCTTTAGAGCTCAGAGGCAGCCATGGAGAGCTGTGCCAGTTGTGAACTGCTTGAGCCTGGAGTGGGGAGACATTCACATTGCCTTCCATGTCAGTAACCCTTAAAGTATGGTTCATGAGCCAACAGCTTCAGCATCAGCTGGGAGCTTGTTAGAAGTGCAGGGGGCCTGCTCAGAATCTGTGGGGGCCTAGGAAACTATTCAACAAGCTATCAAGCTCCCCATGCTAGTCAGTTTTTCCTATCACTGAGGCCTAGGAGAGCCTGGGCCATTTGAATAGGCCTCCCTCCTACTGCTGACTTCCTTCCTCCCTCCTCCCAGGCCAGGCCTTCACTAGTGGTCAACTAAGACCTGTCCTGTCAATTTTAGTTCACAGGAGATGGTCAAAGCTAAGTGACCTCATCTTCTGTCTACCATAGAGAGTATTCCTCACTCCTGCCATTCAAAATCCATTTCTCCTCTCTAAGGAGATCTCTTAGCCACGTATCTGGAGAAGTCCTTCCTGTGGTCTAACCCCTGTCCGTCTTGCTAGGGTCAGTCCACTTTCAGCAGAGGAAAAAAACAGCTGATCGCGGGTGATCAGTCCTTGCTCCCTCTTTTCTTCAGGCTTTAATGAAATGCTGGCAGAGCTGCTCATAAAATTGGCCAAATTAGTGGGCATTCCCCAAACCGCTGCTGGGGCAGGAGCATGTGGTCAAGTATTGAACATTAACATGGTGAATTGAAGTTTAATTAGCCAAGCCTTCCCAGCAGAACCATCTCCTGGGCCTTCAGGAGCTCTGGCTGTCCTCTCCATTTCACTTGGTGAGGGGAAACTGAGGTACGGAGGAACAAGGAAGGTGAGGGAAGAGAGCCAGATGGGGGCACTGCTTGCTGACGCTGCATAGCCTCTGCCCTCCCCTGCATGGATCTTGGAGAATTTGGGCTCTTCCCTTTCTGGTCCCTCCCGGATTGTGACCCCGCCCCGCCCCTGATACTCACGACTCCTTGTAGTACACGATGAAGCTGAGTAAGTCCCGGGCTTCCAGCGGCTCATAGCGCTCCCAGCGTAGCAGGATGCGGTTGGCTTCAGTTAAGTTGAACACGAAGCGCAGGGTGCGAGTCTGGCCTGTGGGGGGCGAGGGGTGGGCGAGGGGTGAACAACAGCTCCTAAGGCGTCTGCCTAAGACCCCACCCGGACCCTGTGCCATCCTATCCCCAATGCCACCTCTAAAGAGGCTGTCCCCTTCAAGTGCCCCCTCCCCCCAGGGGAGTGGGTCTGGTGTGACTGCGTGTGTCTTGGGGTCATGTCTCATTTCGACTGTGCTTGCTGGTCTGGGGTTAGGTTCTGGGCCTCACAGGCAGCGCGATCTCCATTGGTGCGGGGGTTGATCTCAGCCTTATTTTGCCGGCCTCGTGTGCCAGTCACCTCCTCCAGTCGGTAGATGTGCTCCAAGCAGAGGCGTGGATTGAAGGCGAAGTAGATCTTGCCCATAGGAATGGTGAGCCCCAAGGCCACCCAGGACCCCAGCTGTTGTAGGTTCTGGTTGTCCAGCACATACAAAGTGTAGTTCCTGGGGGAGGCCAGGGTACCTTGCTCTGCAGGGCAGTGGAGCAGGGGGTGGAAAGGGGGTGTCTCATGGGCTCCTCCTGGAGGGGCTGTGCTGGGTATTTTGCAGCCCACTCACACCAGCACACAGGGGTGGGAGGCTCAGATACCACCACTACCCCTGCTATTGACCAAGAGAGTGATGTCTAGCAAGTCACCCACCCTCTCTTTTGCCCTCATCAGTGAAATGGGGTCAATAGCTTCCCTGCCTCCTTCCTTCCATCATCTCACCTTTTTTTTTTTCTTGTGGGACTGGGGTTTGAACTCAGGGCTTTGCACTTGCAAAGCAAGTGCTCTGTGCTTGAGACACACTTCCAGACCATTTTGCTCTGGTTATTTTGGAGATGGGATCTTGCAAACTATTTGCCTGGGCTGGCCTTGAACCTTGATCCTCCTTGTATCAGCCTCCCAAGTAACTAGAATTACAGGCGTGAGCCACCAGCACCTAGCCCATCATCTCACTTTAACTGGGCACCTGTCATGTGCCAGACTCTGTGTTGGCTATGGGGACACAAGGAGGAATAGTACTCATCTTGGGGCTATACCTTTCCAGGTGGGGTGTGGGGACCCTTAGAGGTACATGGCATGAGAAGTTGTAGGAAATCACCTGACTGATGGTTATTATTATTTTTCTTTTGGCAGCACCAAGATTTGAATTCAGGGCCTTGCACTTGCTATGTACTTCATCAGCCCTTTTTGTTTTTGTTTTTTTTTTTGAGATAGGGTCTCTAGTTTCTGCCTGGGCAACCTGGACCCCTATCCTCCTGATCTCCTCCCGAATAACTAGGATTACAGGCATGAGCTACTCTGCTAAAATATTCTTTTTATTTTGAAAAATACTGGCTACGTTATAGGCAGGCCTTGACTGATAAGTGGTAGCACTGGGTTTCAAACCCAGCCAATCTCATTCTGCAGCTCAGAGGATCAGATGATAACAGTTATGGCCAATCATTATGGTGTTATATATAACTATAATTTTTATTATATATACTGTGTTCCAGGCATTGTTTTAAGTAATTTATGTTAACAACTTAAGTAATATTCACAATGATCCTGAGAAGTAAGTAATGTCTTATAGTAGCTCCATTTTGCAGGTGAAATAATAATAATCTTCTGACCAGAGAGGTTAAGTAGCCTATCCAGTCACACAGCTGGTAAGTAGCAGAAATGGTTCTAGAGGGGGCTGGAGGAGTGGCTCAAGTGGTAGAGTGCCTGCCTAACAAGAGTGAAGCCCTGATTTCAAGCCTGAGTACTGACAAAAAAGAAAAAAGAAATGATTCCAGAGCCCATTTTCCTCACCATTGTTCTGGGAGTGTTGGGGGAAGGGACTGGTCAGAGGCCTGATTCTAACCCCTTACCCATCCACCATGGTGTCTCCTCGGATTAGTTTGAGGTTCTGGAAAAAGCCCAGGGACACCAAGGCAAAGGAGTGCTTGATTTTCAGGAAGCCAGTGATGGTCTCTACCAACCCCAGGCTGTGCTGCAACTCTGACTCCAGGTTGTCTGAGGGTGAGGAAAACAGGGCTGGAGTAGGAGAAGGTCAAGGTGATGTGTTACAGGGCAGGGGATTGTAGGTGATGTCAGGGGGAGGTGGGTCTCATTCTGGGACTCAGGATAAGAAGAAGTAGTATTTAGCCTGCATTATGCAAGGGTAGTGGCTAGAAGGGAGGGTGTGGCCAGGAGGAGGGGTATGGCCCCAGAGAAGGTACTGACAGCCCTGGCGTAGGTTGAGGATGAGGCTCCCCTCCACGTGGGTGCAGCCCACCAGGTCCTGGGCCGCCTGGACGGAGTCGATGGTCTTGGTGCCTACCTTGCACTCTTTAGGGCACAGCCCCTCGCACTTGTGGCAGAATATGCTAGCAGGGGCAAGCAAATGGCATGAGTTTGGACCCATGTGGGCCTCCTCAGGTCTCCCCACTGCCCCAAGGGTCTCCCTCATCCTATGTTCACCTGCTGCCATTACGGGTAAAGCCTGGAGGGCACTGGGCTAGGCAGCTGCCTTGGTGGATGCCGAAGGTGGAGGCCCGGCCTGGCACAGAGCGCAGGCTGGCACAGTGTTCGGCTGTGACACAGCGCCAGGACTCATGCTGGTAGGTGCCTGGAGGGCAGGCCCTGTGGCAGGCACCCTGGAAGTAGAGGTGGCGGCAGGCTACACAGGCACGAGGGTCTTCTGGCCGGCTGCAGCCCCCTAGACATTCTGTGTGGCAGCACTCGCCCCCGGCCGTGCAGGCCAACCCATGCGGACAGGGACACACTGTGGACAGAGGACACACTGTGTTATATCTTCCGTGTCACTTTTTTCAATCTTGGAATCACACTCAATCTGTGTCCAGACCCCTCCTATTCAGATGACACTGGTTGCTGACTCTGTTCCCTCAGACAGGGGCTCCTGAGAACCAAGGACTGTAGCCTCTCTTTATAGTTCCACCTCTCACAGTGCCTCGTTGGGGGTGTCAGAACTCAGGACAGAGCAGTGACCTTGTCCATCAGGGTTGTTGCGCTCCAGCCTGCTGTCTTGTCCTGACGTGATGTGTGCACGTGATGTGACCTGATGTGTGCCCAAATCATCTCTGGGCATGGTGCCAGGGTGAACCAGCTGGCCTCTCCTGAGCAGTTAGGTCCAGGGAAAGTGGACCTGGGAGTGTGTGGAGGGAGAGGCCATTGGTCATTTTACCCATGCCCCTGCCCATAGTGCCGCCTTCTTCAGCTCTCTGCCCTTGGCAGGTGGCAGCCCCAACAGTAGTAGACGATGTGGGGCCTGGGGTGCAAAAGATTGAAAACCACACAGAGGCAGCTGGATGTCTGTGGGAGCCATGTGTGGGTTGGGGGTCAGCCAAGGCCTGTTGACACTGTACACCAGAGGCCTGAGAGGACGTGCAGCAGCTGTGTTTACAGCCAACAGGGAGGCATCAGGGAGGTGGGCCCCACAGATACAGCAGGGATCCGGTTACTCTCCTGCCCTGATGCTGAGGTGCTGGGAGTGAGAGGAGCTGACCTCTGGGTGCCATGTGAGAAACACGCCCAGGTGAGGGCGTGTTTTTCCCTCTCCCTTTTCTCCACTCCCTTGCTTCTGTCTCCATGTTTCTTACTTCCTAAAGAAGATCCCACCCATATATTCATCCTTGGTGCCTACCTCCTCAGTCCAATACTGCCAGCTCACTCTAGATCGTCCATGTTGGACCTGCTTTTACTGGGAACATAGAACTGCTACTATGGCACAGGTGCTGCCCTAATGCTCTTTAAAATAACTCTGCTTTTAAATAGTTTCTGCTGGGTATTGAGGGGGGGGGGTGGGAGGGGGTGGAGTGGGTGGTAAGGGAGGGGGTGGGGGCAGGGGGGAGAAATGAACCAAGCCTTGTATGCACATATGAATAATAAAAGAAAAATGAAAAAAAAATAAATAAAATAACTCTGCTTTTAACACCTCTATGATCATTTACAGAGAAGGAAACTGAGGCACAGATAAGCTAATGAACACAGTCAGTAAGCAGTAGAGCTGAGACTTGAATGCAGGCTATCTGGTTTTGTACTTAGCCCCATATTGCTTCTTGTGTTGCCTGTGTCTACTTGTGGTTCCCTTCTTTCTTCCCCCGCATGCCCACCGTATACGTGTCCATTACCACTCTATGGTTATCCGATGCTCTCTTTTGCCTACTGTTTTACTGTCTTATGCTATATGAGTGATTTAGTTTTTCTGAGCCTCAGTTTCTTTTTTCTGTGAAATGGGAGCACTTGCCTCATAGGATGAGTGAAAATTAAAAAACAATGACTGCCAAGTACTGACCTATGGTATCTGGTGGCCACCCAGCCCCACCTGGCCCTATCTCCCTGTGGCCCCCAGTCATGTTCTGTGCCAGCACCCACCTCTCTGGCAGTGGCTGGAAGTCCAGCACCTGTAGTCAGTGTGCCCACTGAAAGTGGTCCTAGCACAGGGTTCTCCGGCAGCGCCCAGCACTCCAGGGCAAACGTCAGCACACTCTTCATCCAGCTTGTTGCCCACGATGTGGTTGGCTCCAGGTGCAGGCTGCAGCAGACCCCAGTCAATGGTGGAGAGGTGGCAGAGCTCTTGGTTCTTTTCCACGCGCACCGCCCCACGCATCACAGCCCCCAGCTCGGGAAGTCCCACGTCACGCAGGTGTGGCATTTCAAAGATGACCAGAGCATAGCCCAGGAAGAGGCGGGCTCCACGGATCACTGCTAGATTGGGGAATAGGTCACGCAGGCTCTCCAGGCCATAGACACGAAAGAGCAGCAGGTAGTCAGTGACCTGGGTGAGGCGTGGGAAGCTGAGACCATGGAAGTCCTCTCCTGTGGCTGTGAACATGAGCAGGATCTGCAAGTGGCCCTCCACCACACTGCAGTTCTCCAGACGCCGCAGCTCTGCCACCTCAGAGCGGATGTCCAGACTGGGGCACACTGTGAGCACATGAGACATGCAGCAGTGAGTACAGGCCCAGGCCAAGTGGCCCATCCCTTCCTGGTCACTTTGGGAAAGGGGTACCACATAGGCAGCAGGACACTGAATGGGAAACAGTTTCTGCTCTGGATGAGGTGTAGCCTCCTCCCTGGGCCTCAGAGAGCTCACCTGCATTTGCAGGGTCTCTACCAGATGAACCATCATGGGCAAAGTAAGCTTCTGACGTCCCCTCCCAAGCCCTCTTCCCTTTTACAGTTAAGAGCAACTTCATTCTTACAGTCAGGTTCCAAACCTGAAGTTATCCTTGACTCCTTTCTTTCCCTCCTTCTACATCCTGTTGGCTCTAGCTTTAGAGCCACCACAGGTGCTCAGAATCTGACCACTTATAACCACCTTTGCTAGTACCACCATCGTCTTCTTCTGGATTTGCAGTGACACCTTCTCAAATTGTCTTCCCACTCCCACCCTTTGTCTTATATGATCTGCTTTCTACTCTGAAGCCAGAACAACTTCAGAACACAGGTAGATCGGGCTCCTCCTCTGCTTGAAGCCCCACCCCCACCAGGGTCTCCCACCCCACTTCATGTAAGGCAGTTTTTGCTAGAATTGAGAATGCCCTCCCTGCACAATGTGGATCCTGCAACCTCTCTGATCTTGTCTGTCCCTTTTCTTTCATTCTCAGCCACTTGGACCTCTGCTGGCCCTCAAAAAAGTCAGCCAAACTCTGGGCTCAGGGTCTTTATACCTTCTTTTTCCTCTGGGTAGAAGTCTTCCCCCTGCATGGCTCCCTCATTTTAAGTCACCTCAGCCTTCTCTGACCATCCTATTTAAAACTGTGACACTACCTATGGCCCATCCTGATTTACTTTTCTCTATCATTGGTCAATTATACATTGACCAAGGTGTAATTTACTTACTTTGTTTAATTTCAATTCCTCAATATAATCCATTGCTGTATCTTAGTGCATGGCATATAAGGGCAGGGGCACTGAGCTTCCTGCACCCTATGTCTCTCTCTGTCCCAAGGCAACTTAGCTTATTTATTTACTCTTGGGGGGACATTCCATGGCTCCTCATTGCCAGAAAGTCACATTTCAGTTCCTCAGCCTGACATTCTGGGGTCTAGATAAACTGTTTCCCATTCATCTCTTAAGCCTCTGTGCGCTCATCCTGCAAACCTCTGATCAGGCCTCCCCTCTCTAACCCTCTAGTCCCAACTTAGTCAATTCTCCTTTAGGTGTAACTGCAGTTTGTTCAGCAGTACTAGTCACAAGAATACCTGTGGCAGGGCTGGTGGAGTGGCTGAACTAGGACAATGCCTACCTAGCAAGCGTAAGACCCTGAGTTCAAACCCTTGTACCGCCAAAAAAAAAAAAAATACCTGTGACATTGCCCCGACACTATTGTCTACATCTCCACTACCCCCCTTCAAGGAGGGTGGAGATCCTATTAGTCATCTCTTCCTCCCTCATGGTGTCCAGTCCAGGGCAGCAGCCACTGGCTACTCAGGAACTGTGAACCATGGACATCTGAGTCCCAGATACACTCCTCCTCTGGGGATCCAGATGTGTCTGGCTTCCTCAGACCCAGGGCTTCTGCCCTCTTTCCCCAAGGCATTTAGGACTATTCCCCTTGGGAGTCTGCATGCCTGGCCTCACTTCCTTCTAAGGGGACCTTGCAGGGTTCCCCGTTGCAGATATAAACAAATTCTTTGATCTGACATTAAGGTCCATCTAGCCTCTTCAGCCTCCGTGCTCTACCTTCCCATCTGGCCCTCTGGCAACATCACACATGGCATGTACCCTGTCTTACACTGCCACACCATCCAGGCCATTCCCTGATGATTTGTTAAGGTAGTGGGGGTGAGGTGGAAGGAGGCAAGCCTGGCTTCTGTGGCTTACTTCATACAGCTTCACTCTGCCCAGCAGCTGTGTGTGTGTGTGTGTGTGTGTGTGTGTGTGTGTCTGAGCCCAGGCAGGTACACACACACTCAGAGGACAGAGAGAGAGAGAGAGAGAGAGAGAGAGGGAGAGAGAGAGAGAATGAGAAAATACTTCTATTCCCTCCTTGAAGGCCAATCAGGCTCTGTGAGGCAGATGGGGGGTTCTCTCAGGCGCCCTCTTCCCATCATGCCCTGGCCTCTCCAGGGCTCCCCTGATGGGAGTCATTTGGAAAAACAAATCTAAGACCTTTGCAAATTAACCCCTACCTCCCCCCAGGACACTGCTTTGTGCGGAGCTGCACTGGGAACAGACATCTGGGTTCCCTGACCAAATACTAACCCCCCCAGGACATGCTTCTGTCCTAGCAACTGTGCTCCTGGCTGGTATCTGCTGTGCAATGTCCTGGCACAGCAGTGGAAGGGACGCCATGCTTTGTAGACAGAGCCTCTATGACTGGCACCCTTCAGTAGACCCTTACCCCAACCCATTTACATCACTCCTTTGTCTCTGTAGTAAGGGAACACACACACAGCTGCTGGGCAGAGTGAAGCCCCAAGAAGCCCCCAGTTTGAAGGATATTATAAGACCCCCTCATGCAGGCACAGAGGACTAGATTCTTGAGGCTCTCAGTCTGAAGGAGAATGGTGGAATTAGGCGAGGAGACAGCACTTAATCCTTCCCCTCCTGAATCTTCCACCCTCTGTTCTTTTTCCTCTCTCCTCCAAGTCCCCAGACACTCCATGAGGGCCATTTGTTGTACATGGTCACACTCCCCTCTACTCATGGGAAGTGTCTTGCTGGAGAATAGCACAGGAGGCTTGTAGGAAAGGCAGTCACCCCCCAAATCAGCCCCTCTGTCTCATAGTGGAGGGGCCTTAAAGATGGGGAATATGGGAAAGGGTCCCAGATGCAGAAGCTCAGAACACACTTTAAGTTTTCCACTCAAGTCTCTGAGCCTCTATTTTCTGTCTGCACAATAGATTCTGTTACTTAATGGTGCCTGGTTCTTGGCTACTGGTTCCAGCCTTGTCCCTTCCTATTCAGGGGCCCTAAAAAATGACTGCTAACATTCTCACAGTCTCATTTTGGTTCTCATTCAGAGTTTACAGGGGTTATGATTTTACAAGCAGGATTTTACACACACACACACACACACACACACACACACACACCCTGTTTCCAAGTCCTCACCTCTTAGGGAGCTGAGAGAAAAACACCTTAATGTGCATAACTAACTGTTCTTCCTGATGGCAAGTCCATCTGAGAGCTAACCCGTCTTCATGTTGCAGGGAAGAGAAACTGGATGTATTCTGGCTGGAGGCTTAGTTGTTTGGCATTCCAACTATCTAAGGTTGATGAGAGTCTGGGAGACAGTGCAGGGGACTCACCCTCTAGTTTGTCCAGGCCAAATCCCAAAGAGAGGAGGATCATAAGCAGCCATGCTCCCCAGGGCCACAGACTGGTCACTGCCATGGTCCCAGTCCTGGCTTTTGTCCAGTCCTGGCTCTCCTCCAGGTGGCTTCAGGGAGAAGGGTCTGATAGGATCTCTAGGGATGCAGAGACCCAGGCTCCAGAGAGGAAGGAGGAGAGATTAGGAATCCTACACTGAGTGAGATAGCAGGAGACAGAAAAGAATCACAAAGACAAAAAACCAGTGTCAGGCAGCTGGAGACAGCCGTAGTGTGAAACAGAGAGATGGGGACAGAGATGCAGACAGTGACTGGACAGCCTTCGCAGGGTTCAGAGCAAAAAAGCAGGCCGAAGAGCCGGCCAGCCCCAGGAGTGCTCCGGTGGATGGCAGCAGGAGCCCCAGGGTGCGCAGGACAGATCCCAGATCCCTGGGGTACGCTTGCTCGCAGGCGCCAGCCCACGGCGCTCGATGGCAGCAGGATCTCCCGGGGCGGGTACAGAGGGCCGCGCCCAGCTCGGGTCCTACCCGCCCCCAGTCAAAATGGATTGGTTTGCGGGAGACCTCTTAGTTCTCTCCGCCCCTCCGGCCAAGCCAAAATATTTAGCCTGACAACTGAGGGAGGATAGATCTGTTGGGGGAAATAAGGCCAAAATACTGGGGTTGGGGGTGAGGGTGGGGGAGGGCGGAAGGCAGGCCAAGAACTAAGCTCCCTTAACCTTGCTTCGCTGCCGGTAAGTCCTTTCCCATCCCCACTCCCGCCTCCGTCTTCGCCGCAGACTTCTTCCAAATGGATCTACTCCGTGAGAGGGACAGCCAGCGCCAGGGTCTCCTGGGGAGCCGTGGGTCTAGAATACAGCCAACAGGTGCCTTGACACATGCGGTTAACTTCCGGCAGCCTCAACCCAGCAGAGCCTGCTTGTTGAAATCTAGCAAGAACGTGGACAATGTCTCTCGAATATTGAAGCCCTTCGCGTCTCGGAACTCTGTCAGCCTCCGGCGGTCACCTTGTCCAGGGCCCCTTAGCGCGAGCTCGGGTCCCGAGCCCCACCAAATCCCTTGGTTCTGACCAAGATCTCCGTGAGAAGAGCCATAACCGTCACCTTCCTGAATTCGGGCTGCTTGATGGGACTATCTGTGCATCCCTATTTGGGACACTTTGGGGGACCATCCGTACTGGGGCCCTGGGGTAGAGGAAAACGGCGTACCCCTAGGAGTACTTCCTTCATCCTTTTGCCCTTGCCTACTCCCTTCCCAAAAGTCCCTCCTGCAGGACCTTCTTCCCTCCCTATCTTCTGCTTAAAACTCACGACTTTTGCAGCCACAAAGGCCTGCAGGTGGGAGGGGCTGGGACTTGCCCTCAGGTGCCCTGGGTGCTGGGGATCCCGGGGCTTTCCAGGTGCGCAGCTTCCATGGGCCGACCGGTCCCCCGATCCACCCGCGGGCGGCTCCCGCGTCCGAAGAGCTAAGAGAAGATCTATTAATTTCTCCGCGCAGAAATCGATTCTCTTGTCAGGACGGCGATCGATGTCAGCTCTGCTTGGCCTGGCCCAACCCGGCCTTGAGGACCCCGCTGACTGGCGGGGGTCGGAGACTGACCCTAGCACAGAGGCGCAGTGTGGGCTATGGATCACGTCCCCACCCACTGGACCCAGGCCGGGAGAGAACACCTTTGCATTTTGCACGCAGGCTTCTAGCGCCACCCTGTGGCCTTTCCTGGAGAGAGGGGTCTCGGCTCCCTGGTCTTTTGGCTACTTGTAGATAACCCCTTCTCTGTCTTTGTTCCTGTTTTCTTCCTTAGGTTCTTCATTTGGTTCCTTTGGGATCTGTTCCCTTGTCTTACTAGAGTTCAAAGAGTGTTTCACCAAATTTATCCCAAATGACATGCATACTCCCCCAGGCAAGTGCATCGTGAGGCCGAGGAATGGCTAGGATGACCTGAACTGCAACCTTTTCCCGGCTCAATCATCTCCCCTTCTCCCCCAATTAAAAAATGCAGCTGTTTTACTTTGGAAGAAATAGCGTATCAACTTCCCAGTTCCCCCAGCTCCAGAAGACATGTCTGAGGCGTTCTGCTGCGTCCCCTCCACGTCTCCTGGAGGTGCGGGAATATTAGGGGAGAAAGATGGCACTGGGGCCACCCCTGAAAGGGTAGGGGGCAGAGTTGGGGGCTTCGGGAAGAGGGGCGGGGCTGAAGCCGGAGGGGCGGGGCCGGGCGGGGACCACTGGCTCCACCCTTTCCTGGCGGCCGGGTCTTTAACACCGCCCAGCGCACATGTTGCGGGAGCCCAGGCAGCAGCAGCTGGGAGCGCACAGACGGCCGCCCGGCCGGAGCAAGGCGGGCGCTGCCGCGATGCAGCAAAGCCAACAGCACTGGCAGCTTGGGCACTGCCGGGCTTCGGTGCCAGGCAGCCTGCTGGTTTGGCTGATGCTGGCATCTGCAGGCGCTGCATCCTGTCCCGATGTCTGCTGCCCCTTTGGTTCCTCGGGGCTGCGCTGCACCAGGGCTGGGACCCTGAATAGTCTCCGACAACTGCTGGGTGCTGAGAACCTGACAGAGCTGTGAGTGTCCGTTGGGCGAGAGGACGCGGGACAGAAGGGCATAGCCCTGCCCCGAGGGCGCGCACTCGCCGCTGGCTTGTTGGGTCAGGCGAGGCGGGCGCGGCAAGGCTGGCACCACGCAGCCTTCAGAGGTGCCCAGGCATTCTCCGTTGCTGCTGCTGCAGTCACCGCCCCAGCAAGCCCTCTGGTCACTGTCTGGATGTCGCTGGGGCGCTGGCTTGGGGCAGAACAAGAGGGAAATCTCAGTGAATCAGGTCTGAAACAGTAAGCCGTCTAGAGGCAGCTTTCTGGGGCTCAGCCCGGGGCCAAACTCTGTCCCATGGAGGGGATGGTTAACTGCGGAGAACACCTCAGTGTGTCACCCTTACTGTCTTTTCCCTTTTCTAGGGGAAAGCCAGCCTCCAACCCTTTCCTTGACCAGGAAGAGCCTTGCTCTTCCCCTGGACTTGGAATTGATCTGAAATTGGTGGGAGGTGGTTAGCTTGGTGGTTCATCTCTTTCCCCATTTCCATGGTAGCTTATCCCCAAGGCTTTGATTTGGGAAGTGGGACTCCCCTCCTACTCCTGTCTTCTTTCGCTCCGCTCCCATTGCCCTTTCCACCCTTGTCTCCATTCTTGGCTCAGGAAGTCAGGGCTCTTGCTGAGATTCTCCCTCCTTCCAGGTCCTAATCTAGAAGGAACATCCAGCATTCAGCAGTACTCTGACATTCTGCAATAATTCCTTACCAAACACTCAAGTACTTTTTAGCAGCTGGCAAAACCTATGGGAGTACACTGTGAGAACTGGCTTAGAGGTATGCAAGCATCACATGGTGGCTGCTGGAAAATACTTGAGTATTCTGTGTAGGTGATAGGGCCAGCAAGATTTCTAGAAGAGGGAAGGAACTGCTAGAAAATCCCCTGCCCGTGGTCTGGGCTTAGAGGGTGAACCGGGAACCCTGGCCTGAAGGAATGACAGGCTAGGAGTCCAAGGTGGCAGGGGTGGGGGTGGTAATCACTGTCTGGAAGTTACTCGAGCAGCCTGCAATAATTGGCACTGACTTACTCTGGCATCTTGTGGTAATTAACGGGAAGGTACTCAATATCTCTCTCTCTAATGGCCCTAGGGAGACCAGAAAGAGAGGAGATGGCCTTGTCTTGGTCTAGGCCTAGGTTTCTGCATGTTGGGAGGGGGCATGAGATGAGGCTGTCACCCCCAGTGCTGTCCATTCATCACCCTGGGCCTTCAAACCAGGGTCTAGGCTTCCCATCAGTGTTCTCATTTCTTAGCTCCTTTCCAAGCCCCAGTGAGTCCAGCCCAGGGATAGGAGGAGTGGACAGGCCAGGGCTGGGGACTAGGAGGCCTGCAGGGTGGAGAGCTGAGATGTTCCCTTGGGTGGGGCAGCAGCCTGATCCCCTCCATCTACTCCTCCATAGTCCCCTCCCTCCTCCCTCACCCACAGAGCTAACAAGGAGATAATGGACTCGAATAGACAGATTGATTATGAATCCAAACGAATGAGGCAGCTTTGAGCACGCTGCCTGACAGCTCGCAAACACCCGGGTGACCTCGCGTTCTTACCATCTCCCTGGGTCCCTGAGCAGGGGCTGGAGGGTGAGCAGAACAGGGGCCTGTTCTCTCTCCAAGTCACTAGATGCTACTCCCTATGCCTCAGGGGACTGAGGATGTGACACCTGGCTGTCCTGTTGGGGCCAAGGCTGGTAGGAAGGGGTTGGAGGGGCCACTTGGGCTGCTCCTGTTTCCCTTACTTATTAGGGAAGGTCGGAAAGTAGAGGGGGAGGGTTCTGAGAACTGGCAGTGAGTCAGGGGCCCGGGTGTGTGGGGGTAGGCTGGGGAGGGGAACACAGACATGCCCCTGCAGGGGAGTGAATTCTCAGGAACTCCCCAGCATGCCAGATCCAGAAGCTTGGCAGGCCAGCAGTCAGCCATCTCTATCCCCAATGCTCACTTGCTCTTCTTTCTTTTTCATCTCCCTATCTTTCTTTCTCTGGCTCTCTGTCCTTATCTATCTGTCTCCCTTTTCTTATCTGTCTTTCTCTTTGCCTGTCTCTTCCTGTCAGTTTCTTTTTCCCTGTGTCTGTTTCACTCTTTGTTTTTTTGCCCTCTTTTTGCCACCCCATCAGCCTTCCCATGTCAGGCACCATGTAGGCCAGCCAGTCCCTGTCTTTCCTCCCCACCCCATGCTCGCTCTCTGACTCTATCCTTTCACTACCCCCTCAGTCCCTTGTGGGGCAGAGAGGGGCCGGGGGTCCCTGACTGACAGCCTGTACACTACTTGCTTGCTCTGCAAAATCTTGGGATGTAGGGGGAGTAGGGATTGCTGCCTGATTGTGGGGAGGGGCCAGAGGCTTTGAGGGAGCAGACAGGGCGGGGTGTGTTTGTGTCTGTGTGAGTGAACCCAGATAGTGCTCCCCTCAAGCAGGTGTGTTTGGAAGTACACTTGCATGACCACAGGGTGTTCTGCACTGGGTGGGGCAGTGGCATTGATGAACCTTGGCCCTTTTTGGAAGCCAGTGTTTTAGCTGGACTTCCCCCCCCACTGAACTCATGCAGGGGACACCTGCAGTACAAGCAGAGCACCGAGCTGAGAATGGACTGGTGTGCATTTATGAATGTGTGCATGCACATTCTGACATACGTGTATATGTCTGCATGTAAGAGGTATGTGTGAGCTTTGCCTATGTTTGTCCATGTGTGTGCACATGTGTGTTCCTGCATGTGCGTGTGTGTGAGCAGGAGCATCTCTGTGCATATGTTTATGCCTCTGTGTGTGTGTGTGCACATGCTCAGATGGCTGTATGGTGTAAGAGGTGTGTGGGAGTTGGCATATGCGTGATGCATGCTTGCGTGTGCATGTGTAACTTGTGAGGAGGTGTGTCTCTGCATATGTATGCATGTGTGTGTGTGTGTGCACCCATACCTGTGCCTGTGTATGTATATAGGCAGGTCTGTGTGTGATAGGCACATGTGTAACTGAGGAGGTGGAGTGGTGGTGTGCATGGGGGGTGACCTCAAGTGTGAGCCTGACCTCTGGATTACCATCCCTTCTCCCTACAGCTACGTGGAGAACCAGCAGCATCTGCAGCGCCTGGAGCTCAGTGACCTGCAGGGCCTGGGGGAGCTGAGAAACCTGTGAGGGGCCGAGGATGTGTGGGGTGGGACTGGGCAGAAATCAGAACCAAAGTGTGTGTGGGGGGACTCAAGGGTCCTAGGGCTTGAGAGGACCTGAGAGGCGGAGAAGGGGGGTTGGGGAAGTTCAGGATACTCAGGGGTCTTAGGGGTCCAGGAGTGCTGCAGAGACTAAGGGGGTGTGGAGGTGTGCAGGGCTCAGCACTGAGGACTTGGGGCTGGGATGGGTAGAGACGGCAGGGGCTCAGAGTTCTCTCATACTTCCCCAGCACCATCGTGAAGAGTGGCCTCCGTTTTGTGGCGCCCGATGCCTTCCATTTCACAACTCGACTCAGTCGCCTGTGAGTGGTCAGGCTGGGCAGGGTGGGAGGTGGGAAGGACCCCCAGACTTGGGCCGCTCATGTGCTTGGCCCTCCCCAGGGAACTGTTTTGAGGAGAGTCCCAGCCAGGTCAGGGAAATGTCTTCCCATTCCTGGGGTGGATTCTCCTCTACCTCAGGCATGGCAGTGCCATGGGCCCTCATGGTTTCTGGCTAGAGGTCTTTGCTGTCTCATTTCCTTGCTTCAGGGACACTTGTCATGGGTTCCTTACTGGTCTTTCTGCCTGAAGTTCAGATGCTCAGTCCAGTCCAAAGGGAGCAAGGGTAGGAGAAGGACTCCTGGGTTTTGGCCAGAATTCCATCTCCCAGCCTTCCTGGTGGGGAAACACTAAGCTGTCCTCTGGGCTAGCCTGAGAGCAGGGATAACTTGTCACCCTCCCTGTTCCTGAGAGTCACAGCTACCTGTTCTGTAGAAGACAGAGTGGAACATGGAGTGGACAGGAGAGACCCTTGTAGTCCCTGGCACCCCCTCTTGGTCTTCTGAGGCTCAGCTCCTCCTCCCACCATAAGTAGGGGGAGAGAGGGGAAGAGTGGGGGGGCCGTTGTTCATGAAGTTGAACTCTCTGCTGGATTCAGAGATTTAACAACACCACCAACAACCACTTTTGTTTGTTTGAAACACTATTACATCACCTACTAAATGTGTACTTAGGGGCCAGTGGCTCACGCCTGTAATCCTAGCTACTCAGGAGGCAGAGATCAGGAGGATCATGTTTGAAGCCAGCCTCTGCAAATAGTTCATGAGACCCTATTTTGAAAAAACTCAACACAAAACAGGGCTGGCAGAATGGCTCAAGGTGTATGCCCTGAGTTCAAACCCCAATATTGAAAAAAAAAAAAAAAGGTACTCAATGACATTTCACAATTTTTTTTTTTGCTGATACTGGAGCTAGGTTTGCTAGGCTTACTAGGCATGCTGTCTATCACTTGAGCTGCTCCACCAGCCCTGTTTTGTATTTTTTTTTTCCCGACATAGGGTCTATTTGCCCCAGACAAATAGGAGGATTTGCTTTGAAATGCAGTCCTCCTGATCTCTACCTCCTGAGTGGCTAAGATTATAGGCGTGAGCCACCAGCACCCTGTGACATTTCACAATTCTTATGTCAGTGATTCTTTACAATCACCCTCGCAACAAACCAGTGCTTTCCTTGTTTATAGATGACAGTTCTGAGAATCAGAGACGTTAAGTTTTTGGGTTGAGGTCACACAGCTGCAAGTGGCAGGACAGAACTCACACCCAGCTCTAATCCAAAGTGGTAGCGTTTCTTGTGTGATGATGCTACCTCAACCCAGCCCCCACAAATTCTAGGATGGCTGGACAAGGAGAGGGGTAAGGGTAGGCGCCTCAGAGCTGTCACAGGAAGTGCAGCTCCTGGATCCCTGGCTGGATTCACTTTTGCCATCTCTGTAACTAGGGAGCTGTGACCGTGGGGTCTTTTCCTTCCTGAAGTTCCTTAGTCTCTGTGGAGGGTCAGGAATAAGGAGGAGGGAACCTGAGGAAGTACTTTGGCATTCTTGTCATCGTCCTGCAGGGGGCAAAGAAGCATAGGAGCCTCACTCTTCCCTTTCTACTCTGTGGGGGGAGCGCAGATGGAGCCCCTTGTCCCAGCTGTGGCCTCAGCACTTTGCCAGCTGGGGCTGAAAGATGGGGGAGGGGGACCAACCGGCTGTTCCCTTAGATCCCCTTCCCTGGGGTCTGGGGAGAGGGTTAAGTGGGGTTAACCCTTGTTGTCCCAGGGAGAAGAGTTGACTAAAAAATGTGTACCTGCTCAGACCCCTGACTCCAACATGCCCTGCTCTCCAGGGCTTGTTCTAGTTGCCTGGGTTGGGGACTGGGCAACAGATGTCAACTTCCGACTCCTCCCTCACCCCGTGTGGTTGAGGTCGGGGGCTCAGGGTCTGTCACTTCTGCAGGAATCTGTCCTCCAATGCTCTGGAGTCTCTCTCCTGGAAAACCCTGCAGGGCCTCTCCTTACAGGAGCTGTGAGTATGGGGGCTCCCAGGGCAAGTGTGAGTCCTCTGTGATCCCATGTGCACTTGTGTCTCTGTGATGGGTACGTCACTATGCCTGGAAAGGGCAAGTGTGGGCAGTGGGTGTCTCTTTGGGGACAGGTGTTTGTCTGAGCTGAGACTGGGGACTGTGCATGCCAAGTGACCTCATCAAAATAGAGGCTGTAAGACCACGGGCTGTAGGGTATGCTGTGCTGGGGTGTTGGGGCTGGGCTGGGCTAGGGAGCTGGACTGGATGGCTGACTGTGTGTGCCCTGAGGTTTGGGGCTCGTGTTATTCCAGGGTACCAGCTGTGTTGACCACAGATCCACCACCACATATGCACAGGGCATATCTGCCCCCATTCCCAGTGCACCACACACTTGGGAGGGGTGGGTCAGCCGTAGTCCATGTGTGCTTTGTGGGCAAATGAGGCCCATTTAAGGGTCACTACCAGAGGCCCTGCCCTTCCCTCCTTGTCACCATGCTGAGGGACTTTTCTTGGCTTGTCACTCTAGGAACTGGGATATGGAACCCTATGTAGCCCTCAGCTGGCTGTCTTCAACTTTCTGTGTTTATTTTAGTAACTAAAGTCTCATTACTGGGTCTGTGACAGAGGAGTCTGTCCTGCACCCCTAACCCTTCACCCTAGACCCTCCTTCCTGCCACCTTCCTACACTGCACCCCCCTGGCTTAACAGGCCCTATGCCTGCCTCTTCCTGACTCTCTTAGTGTCCCCCATATCTGCCAGGGACCTGTCTGGAAACCCTCTGCACTGTTCCTGTGCCTTGTACTGGCTGCTGCGCTGGGAAGAGGAGGGACTAGGTGGAGTGGGTGCGCAGAGGCTGCAGTGTTCTGGGCCCAGGGACCAGCTCCTTGCCCTCAGGCACAACACCAGCTGCGGTAGGTGTTAGAGGTGCTGCCAGGGGCTGGGAAAGAGGGCTACCTACACCCCCACTCAGGGGTAATTGAGGAGGGAGAGGGAGAGAGCATGTCCTGGGTGCGGTTCTGAGGCCATGTTTAGCTAACACTTCTCTGGCATCCTGTGTGGCCAGGTGTGCCCTTGCTGAGGGTCCAGATGCCCAATACCACTGTGGAAGTAGGAGATGACGTATTGCTGCAGTGCCACGTGGAGGGGCGGGCCCTGCAGCAGGCCGGCTGGATCCTTACTGAGCTGGAGGGTACAGCCACAGTGATGGTGAGAAACTCAGAAGCCCCTATCCCTGTCCATGAGAGACAAAGACAGGGAAAGAGAGACAACAAAATGGATAAGGAGCACATGGAGGTTGAGAAAGGAGCAGCCCAGGGCACACACAAAACCTCAGGGCAGACACTGGCCCAGCAGGAACCCAAAGCTCTGTTGGACCAACTAGATCCTAGGGCCCTTCTCTGGGAACACAGCGCTGACTGCAAGAGGGGGAGGTGTCACAGTTCACATGTTAGATCTAGGAGCAACCCAATAGACCACCCTTTCTAGATAAGGAAACTGAGGCCCAGGGAAGGGGTGCCATATCTGTGGCTTCATATCCAGGACCAGTTCTCAGGAGCCTTTGTAGTCTTCTCCTGGAGATTCTGAAAGCAGCATTTCTTGGGTGTGTGATGAACACATTACAAAGGCGGCACAGGTCTGGTTCCAGCTCTTTCACTAATTATGAATTAGAGTGACTTTCAGAAAAAAAAAATCCCTTAATCTGCTTGCACTTTGGTTTTCTTATCTGCAATTGAGGAGGTGGACATGATGGCCTTCTGATGTTCTGTCTGCCTCGGGCATTCTCTGACCTCTATCTGCTTTCCAGACATGTCTCTGGGCACCATCCCAGGCCTTGCCTCTGTCCCTAGGCTGGCCATGGGCAGCTGTGAGTAGCCACAGCTAACTCAAGAGGATTTGTTCACAAGGTCACTAGGCTCTGACAAGGGGCTGGCCTCACTCCTGTCTTAAGTGCACATCAAGGGACCAGGGTATGGACCAATGGGATGACGGTTTGGGGGCCTTTGCTTTGGAAGGAGAGTCAACTCCATAACTGTTAGAGGTACATGAGACATGAAGGAACTGCTGGAGCCTTGAGCAGGGGTTCCTGACATGGTAGATGGACCATGGCCCCGAGTGGTTTCTTCCACTTCAGAGTTCAAGGTTCCTGAGAGTGAGTAATGGAAAGGGGATAAGGTGTCTGTTCTGGGAAGTTCCACATTTTTACTTTCTTTTTGAGAAATTTACATGTTTGATAACACCTGTGCTGCCTAAAAACTTCCTACAGAAAAATCACACCATAACTGGGTTACATGGAAGGAAAAAGAGGCTGGTTAGGAAAGTAAAGGACCATGTAATTGGGACACCCAGATCCCAGGGTGGGAGAAGAAGGGGATAGCTTAAGGAACCGAGGGCAGGACAGGGCTGCCCCATGAGGTGGCCTGAACCAGCTTGCACAAAAGACCGGGAGCTCTTCTGAAGTCTTTGAACTCAATGATTCTGGTGAAACCCACAGAAACTGCACCTCTCCTTGCATGTACTTAAGGAGTTCCACATTTATGAAATTTCCACGTAAATGAAATTCACCCACTACCTCCTTTATTTTCATCATTTTACAAAAATAGCTTTCAAAATGTGAAAAAATTTTGTCTACTTCTTCAGTTATAAAACAAACCAGAACAAACATAGTTTATCAAGATTAGGAATTGTCTGAAGGTCATAGAATTTACATACGACACGTCCACGGTTTCTTGGGAAGAGAATCTGAATCTGATTTAATCATTTGATGATGATTCACCCTCCTCTTTTACGTCACTCACTGTCTTCATCTGCCAATGACAGCAATGCGTTTGCTTCCAACTGCTACCTGTTATCAGCAATCTCTCTCTCTCTCTCTCTCTCTCTCTCTCCCTCTCTCTGTTATTTTTATTTATTTATTTATTTATTTATTTTGTGTGTTGGGTGGGTTAACTCAGAGCCTCGCTGGACAGGTGCTATATCACTTGAGCCACGCCCCCAGCCCATTTTTGCTTTAGTTATCTTTCCAATACAGTCTCATGTTTTTGCCTGGTGCTGATCTTCCCTCCTATGCTTCCCAAGTAGCTGAGACCACAGGCACTTGCCACTAAGACTGGCTTGTTGGTTGAGATAGAGTCTGGTTAACTTTTTTGCCTGGGCTGGCCTAGAACTTGGATCTTCCTGATTTCTGCCTCCTGAGTAGCTGGGATGACAGGCATAATTCACCATGCCCAGTCTCCATTTCTTTATTTCTGACCTTCCTTTGGCTGAGCCAAAGTTTGTTAGAACTGTGTGTGAAACAAGAATGACCAAAGTGGCAAAGTTCTCCTTGGTTCTCAAATGAGCACTGTATGAACTGGGATTCATGACGTCTGTTTAGCTGTTCAGATAAGTGGCTGTAATTTTGGTTTGGGGTATTTTGTGCCTACTTTGAGGTTATTGGTTATGCTTTAGATTTTTAAGTGCTATCTTCAGAATTTTAATTTTTTTTAATTATTGTTGTCCTGGGGGTACATTGTGACATTTACCAAAGTTCTTACAATATATCATAGTTGAATTCACCCCCTCCATCATTCTCTTTTATCTCTCTGCCCCCCCTTCCTGGGACAGTTTCAATAGGTCTCATTTTTCCGTTTTCATACATGAGTACACAATATTTCCACCATATTCATCCTCCTACACCTTTTCTTCACATCTTATGCTTTAGATTTCTGAGGTCACTAAGTAAGTGATCCAGGAGATAATCTACCAACAAGTTGTAAAGAAGGAAGTCATTCTTTGCTATATCCCCTCCCAACCACTGTCCCATCCCTTCCCTTCCCCAAGCCCTCCTCTCTGTTCAATCTGGAGCCCAGGTGTGGGGGACGCCCAAACACAGCTCTAACTCCCCGACTTTAGCCCCAAGTCACTGAAGCCCCTCCTGGTTTCTCCTGATGGTTTCTCCTCATTTCTCTACTGATGCAGAAATCTGGGGATCTGCCATCCCTGAAGTTGACCCTGACCAATGTCACCAGTGATCTCAACAGGAAGAATGTGACCTGCTGGGCAGAGAATGACGTGGGCCGGGCTGAGATCTCTGTCCAGGTCAACGTCTCCTGTGAGTCCCCATGACGTGAGGGCTCCTGCACCCACACCCACTCATTTCTTCCCTGGAAAGAGGATGTAGGGTGAGGGGCTGGAGGAAAGGGTGGGTGTGTGTATCCACAGCTGCTCCCTCCCAGCTGTTTCCAGATTCCCATGAAAACTTGATCCTTTGGGGGATATCCTGGGGGCTAGTCAAGGCCAGAGGGATGGAGACGGATTTTTTTTCTGGCTCCCTGCCCAAGCCTTGCTACCTGAGGCCTTCAACGCCAGCTGCTCTGCTGTTCCCAGAACTCTGAGGTGCCTCTCATGCACTCCCTTTAAGGCTTTTGCCCCACATCCTGCATCCTGATTTTATTTATTTATTTCAGCCATACTGGAGTTTGAATTCAGGACTTTATGATCGAGAGACAGGCACTCTACTGTTATTTATTTATTTATTTATTTACTTACTTGCTTATTTTTCTGTTTCATTTAGGATTTTTTTTTTTTTTAGTACTGGGGCTTGAACACAGGGCCTTCACCTTGAGCCACTCCACCAACCCTATTTTTGCGAAGAGTTTTTCAAGATAAGGTCTTGCGGAAGCCAGTCCGGTCTGGCTTCAAACAGTGATCCTCCTGATCTCTGAGTAGCTAGGATTACAGGCGAGAGCCACCAGCACCCGGCTCATTTAGGATTTTATTTTAGGTTTGGGAATAATCACTTTAAAACTGGTGCCAATCTCTACTAGCCCCAGCATTGAATTTCCAACCTGGATCAACATTTGTTGCCAACTGAACTTTGTGGGTGGAACAGTTAGGAGTTGGACTTCCAGTGAAAGAAATCAAAATCCAAGAGCTGCATTCTAGTTTTCAAACAGGGAAATTCCTCTCCTAAAGAGTCGTGCTTTACTCTTGTTATCTACCTAATTTCTTTAGATCAACCAGCAAATTCTCTTAGATCTTTTATTTTATAGCATTGTTCTTCTTTTATTGCAAAATAAGCATAGAAATGTGCACAAAATGTTATTTTTATTTATGTATCTTTGTTGGGACTGGGTCTTGCAATGTAGTCTAGCCTGGCTTCCAACTGTAAAATCTCCTGATTCAGCGTTCTCAATGCTGGGATTATAGTCATGCACCATCACGCCCAGAAGTTTTGTTTATACATTTTATAAATGAAATTCTATGAATGTAGACTTTGGTGTCCAGTTTGTAAAATCCATCCATGTTAACAGAAGTAGCTGCAGTTCATTCATGTACTGCTGAATAATGTTTCAATGTGTACTTTTTTTCTATTATTGAGGAACTTTTGCTTTTTCAGGGTTGAATCCATTTCCAACTCATGACTCTTTCCAATAAGTTTTTCTTTTTTCCTATAGTTTTGGGGATGGAACCAAGGGTCTCATTCATGCTATGCAAGTGCTTTACCATCAGGCTATATCCTTAGCCCTCAAAAAGGTTTTTAAAACTATACAATATATGCTTTTTGCTTGTCTCCCATCCCATCTTCTTAAAGTTGCTTACATTTAATTTTTCTAAATCTCTTATCCAAAAAAACTCCATGTTTAATTGCCATAAATGGGTACCCCACTTCTCTGGGGCTGTGATTTTAGGTCTGCCATTTACATTCTTTAAGCCTCTGAATTTTGTACACTTGCTGCCAGATTTATTTAAAATTTACTGTCAATTTCCTTGTGAATTTCTTAGGGCCTGCTGATCTGTTTTTCTTGGGCCTACTGCCTGGTTTCTGGTTCTACTTCTGCCCCTGTTCTCCCTCAGCTGTCCCCTGACTCTTACTGTTGCTTTTTCTGCCCATAGTCCCAGCCATTGTGCACTTGGGTGCAGCAGTGAGGCAGCACCATTGGTGCATCCCTTTCTCTGTGGACGGGCTGCCGGCACCCTCCCTGCGCTGGCTCTTCAATGGCTCCATGCTCAATGAGACCAGCTTCATCTTCACTGAGTTCCTGGAGTCATCATTGACCAATGAGACTATACGGCATGGCTGCCTTCGCCTCAACCAGCCCACCCACGTCAACAACGGGAACTACACACTAGTGGCTGTCAATCCTTACGGCCAGGTCTCCGCATCCATGATGGCTGCATTCATGGACAACCCTTTTGAGTTCAACCCTGAGGATCCCATCCCTGGTGCGAGAGCCACCCTGAACCCTGCCCCCACTCCTGGGCTGCACCTGGGGTGGAGATCCAGGTGTCCAGGGAGTACAGACCCCTTTCCTACTATGACCCTGACCCCAGAAGTTGGAGTGCTTGGTCCTGGACAGAAAGGAGCTGGTGTCTGGCTCTGTGCTGGCCTCTATGCTCCTTCCCCAAGCCAGGACTTCTGAACTCCTGAGCTATTCCATCTATTCAGGGTGGCTAAAGAGAAAATCATGCACCAGGGCATCAGAGCCCAGCTGGAAAAAGAGCTATATGCATCTTCTCCCTTGAGGCCCAGCCACCCCATCCCTATCCCACCCCCATCCCCTGAAGGGATGAGTCCTAGAGGGGCAGGGGACTCACTGCTCTCCTCCTCCATCTGACTGCTGTCTCTCCTCCCTCCTGCTGCAGTCTCCTTCTCGCCAGTGGGTGAGTAGCCTGGGCTGGAGGGAAGGTCATGCCTGGACCCTAGAGCTGAAGCTGGGGCAAAGGGTACAGCTGACCAGGTCTCTCGAGGTCAGATGGGATCAGGGTGGGGAGCTGCTAGAGGAGACAATGTGTGCCAAGGCTCACCCTTCCTGCCTGTGTCTCCACAGACACTAACAGCACGTCCAGAGACCCAGTGGAAAAGAAGGACGAAACACCTTTTGGGGTGAGTGTGGGAAGTAAAAGCAGGACTTGGGATAAGGAGGCTGGGCAAGAGGTTCATCTTATGTCATTTCAGGGCAAAACAGGGAGATCACTCCAGTATGGCTTGAGCTCTTGTCAGCTAACTTCACAGCCAGGCATAGGTTTCCAAGGGGGAACAGGTGGCAGGTCTGAGGGCCTGGCCCCGGGCTTCCCTGAAGGATGAAGAAATGGTTTGCTCTGAGGAGTTCTGAGGGCACAGAAGTCTCTGGATCTGACCCCACCCCTAGGTCTCAGTGGCTGTGGGCCTGGCTGTCTTTGCCTGTCTCTTCCTTTCTGCACTACTCCTTGTGCTCAACAAATGCGGACAGAGAAGCAAGTTTGGGATCAACCGTGAGTGGGGGGGGGTCTGCAGAGGGCTGTCTGTCTGTCCTACTGGCTCTGTTTGCTACTGGCTCTTCTTGACTGTTTCTGTACAGAAGAGTCTGTGCTCACATGGAGTTTTAGGGTGTGTGTGTGTGTTTGGGGTATAGTTGAGGGCCTGGCTATGGGGCTGGGTGAGTGTATGTGTGATTGTGTTGGGCTGGTGCAGGGATAGTTTCAGTGGTAGCAGCTGCTAATTGGTGGCTGGATTGTAGTCAAACACTAAGTGGGTCTGGGAGGTCTGGGCTCTGTTGGGGGTGGGGGGATTCTTTGTTGCCATGAAGCCAGGGGTTGGACAGGAGCCAGTCAGAGAGAGGCCCCGCTGCCTCCCCTTCCTCCTGCCTGCTGTCTTACTCCCTAGCTCCTCTGTCTTTCCTCTGCAAGTTAGTAGGTGGGAGTGGCCTGGTACTCTACAAGGAGGCAGCTGTGAGCAAGGGTCAAGGTGGGTGCCTGGGCTCTGACTCCCTCCATGTATCTCTTTCTCAGGTCCGGCTGTGCTGGCTCCAGAGGACGGGCTGGCCATGTCCCTGCATTTCATGACATTGGGTGGCAGCTCTCTTTCCCCTACCGAGGGCAAAGGCTCGGGGCTCCAAGGCCACATCATCGAGAATCCACAATACTTCAGTGATGCCTGTGAGGGGCTACACTGTGTCAAGGGCAAGGATGTGTGTGTGTGTGTGTGTGTGTGTGTGTGTGTAAGAAGCCTCTGGGCCATTGCCTCTGCTGCCAGTTCCTCCCTCCCACCCATTCCTATCCTGATATCAGCTACAGCACATCTTTCCCATGTTGAGAGTATCCCCTGGCCAGTGCCAGTTCCCTCACCATGTCTTCTCTGTGCAGATGCAACCCCATACATACATGGAGCTTGGGGAAGAGGGAGGGCTGGATTCCAGTCTCCATCATCCCCTTGGCTGGGCGCCTTTGTATAGCACACAGCCCCTCTAGCCAGTTCTGCCCTTACCACTACCCCATCCCACCCCAGACTGGGGCTGCCATCTGATCCTGCAAGCCCCTCCCAGGTGTCCATCACATCAAGCGCCGGGACATCGTGCTCAAGTGGGAGCTGGGCGAGGGCGCCTTTGGGAAGGTCTTCCTTGCTGAGTGCCACAATCTGCTGCCTGAGCAGGACAAGATGCTGGTGGCTGTCAAGGTGAGACCCTGGCCTCAGCAGGGTTCTGCTGGTGTGGGTCCCACTTTCCAGAGCACCATGATGTCGGGACAAGGGGGCTGGATGCCTGAGTCCAATGAGACTTGAGAATGGGTTGTAGGGAGGCTGGCACCCCCCTCAGTCCTATCCCTGTCCTTGTCCCCAGGCACTGAAGGAGGTGTCCGAGAGTGCTCGGCAAGACTTCCAGCGTGAGGCTGAGCTGCTCACCATGCTGCAGCACCAGCATATTGTGCGCTTCTTTGGGGTGTGCACCGAGGGCCGCCCACTGCTCATGATCTTTGAGTATATGCGACATGGGGACCTAAACCGCTTCCTTCGGTACGAGCACCTGGGGACGTTTGTGAATGTGGGAACGGTTCATTCGTGCAAAGAGCAGAGTATCAGTAGTCAGGGAGGTGGATCTAGCAGAGGCTATGAGCTAATGCTTAGGGGTAGGTGGCCTTTGCAAGGGTGTGTGTGTGCATTTGTGTGTGGACACGGAAGCCAGGCCTGTAGAAGAGGCCATGAAGATGGCTACAATGCAATTAATCATGCACTCTCTATGCTCCAGGCACTGTCATATACATTACAGTTCATCCTTATTATGGTCCTGTGTGCTCGTACATATGTATCTTGTACAATAATATATAAGTAATATAAATATATTTAATATACAGTAATATAAATGTGTATTTATACAATATACAGTAATATAACTGTATATTTATTTTTCATAGTGTCCAAGAATATAGGGCAATTTATACTAGAAGAACATTACACATAATTAATTTCATTGGCTTTGGACAGCACAACTCTGATATATGTATTTGTGCTTATAGTTTTACTCACTTCAAAAAATGTGACTAGGCTGGAGGTGTGACTCAAGCAATAGAGCACCTGCCTAGTAAGCACAAAGCCCTGAATTCAAATCCCAGTACTGAAAGGAGAGAAAGAGAGAGAGAGAATGAGAGAGAGGAAGGAAGAGGAGGAGGCGGAGAGAGGGAGGGAGGGAAGAAAGAAAGAGAAAGAAAGAAGGAAGGAAAGAAAGAAAAAGAAAAGAAAAGAAGAAAAGAAAAGAAAAGGAAAAAAATTGCTTGTTTCACAGATAAGGCTTAGGGAGGTGAAGTGAGCACATGGTAATGAAGGTGGAGGGAGATTCAGCCCCAGGCAGAGCCTGCTGTAAAGCCCTGGCTGCAATGCACACAGGTTTCCTTAACTTAGTCCTTGTCCTGGGAGTTTCCCCCTGTGAGGACTGGGCAGGGTTAATCACAAAGAAGACTTTCTCCCCACTAAGCAGCTTTCCTCTCTGACCTCACTCTTTGGCCAGGAGGAGGGACAGTGTGGGGCTGTGGTTCTGGGTAAAAAAGCTTGCTGAGGCTGCCACTGATGCTCATGGTCTGGTTCCCTGGCATCTCCCTGGGAGTGATGGCCACAGAGAACTCAGCTAGGAGAGACTGTGAGTCCAAGCTGACTGTGGGGACTCCAGGGGCCACTGGATGGCTTAGAGTAGGGGCCGTTGAAGCTAGTGCCAAGGATGAGGTGAGGTGGATTAGCAGAGGAGCCAGAGCCAAGAGGTGGACATGGAAGAACCCATCTCCTTTCTCACCAGATGAGGTGCAGGCTCCCTGGTGCAAGCCAGGGAGATGCCACCAAATGGGGCCCCAGATGTGAGAGAAGTGGCTGCAAATGCTGCAAAGAGCACTGGGAGAAAAGGAGGGAATCATAACTGCTCCTAAATGAGTCTGGAAGACTTCCACAGGAGGGGTCCTTGATTCTTTTGCCTTCTGGCCCTTTGTATTTTCAGTTCCCTCTGCCTGGTACCCTGGGCCTCCTCCCGGTCACCTCATCCTCTCCTGCCTTGGCCTCTTTCAACTTACTTGCCCATTTCTTTTCCTCAGTACTTGGGTATCAGATTAGACAGATGTTCCTCCCTCCTGGAAGCCTTCCCTGACTTCTTCCATCTCCATCCCTAGAGCCCATCAAGTGCTCTATGCATGACGCTATTGTTTATCGGCATCTTATTCTCTTACCGTGGCTCTGGTGCTGGGTCCTCTGGAGATGTTTAACAAAAACCTAAACTTAATGAATGGGGAGAAAGCTGGCAGTAGGAAAGGTTGTTGCTAGCAAAGTGATCTGCTCAGGCAGAAGCTAGGAAGGAGGGATATTGGGGAGTGGGAATGGATGATGAAGCTGACCTAGATTGGTGCTGTGGGGAGGAAGAAGAGGGAAGGGAGGAAGAGTCCAAGAAACGCAGGGTACTGAGAGCAAAGGTGTGGCAGATAGTGGAATTATGGAAGACTATGAAATCAGACCCAGAGCTTGGCAGGGTCAGACTTTGAGGAGAAAAATTGAGCTGGTCTTGGCAAGGACTAGACTGAGCCCATGGTAAGAGAGGTAGGGAACAGTGAGCAGCTAGGTGCTGGGGTTGAAGTTCAAGGGAACTGCCTGAGAGGAAGTCATGGATGTGGGAAATCTGGGGTCTCTCTAGTGGAAGCCCTGGAGGTAGACACTCCTGTTCTGTTTCCCATTCCAGCCCACCCAGAAACTGCTGTTCTTTCCTTTTCCTGTTTCTGCACAGTCTCCCCTTATCATACCCAGCTTGGGGATCACCTTCCACAGTTCCCGGGGTTCTGTCCTCCCAGCCCATCCCTTCTTCCTCTCTTTCCCAGGTCTCATGGGCCCGATGCCAAGCTGCTGGCTGGCAGGGAGGATGTGGCTCCAGGCCCCCTGGGCCTTGGGCAGCTGCTGGCCGTGGCTAGCCAGGTTGCAGCAGGGATGGTGTACTTGGCCAGTCTGCACTTCGTGCACCGGGATCTGGCCACGCGAAACTGTCTGGTGGGTCAGGGACTTGTGGTCAAGATTGGAGATTTTGGCATGAGCAGGGACATCTACAGTACTGACTATTACCGCGTAAGGATCCCCAACCTCTTCCCCAGCATCCAAACTGCAGCCACCCTGGATGCCCGTCCATTAAGTCCCCACCCTCACCAGTGTGTCCTCCTCTTACTCAGGCAGTGTGGGATCTGAGACTTTTTGGGATCTGTTTTTTAATTCTCTCCTATGCCTCAGCCTCCATTTGGGAAGGGTCTGTCTCCTTTGCTATCTGGAACAGAAACATTACCATTGGTTTTCCCTCTTAGCTCTGGCCTGGAGCATCACATCTATATCACTGATGACTGGGCTGGAAAGGGTTGCGGGTAGGGGTAGGGACTGAGGGGAACGCCCTGCCCCAGATGCAGGTCCTGCTGCAGGTGACCCAGCGCCTGCCCACCTGCCTGCCCACAGGTGGGAGGTCGCACCATGCTGCCCATCCGCTGGATGCCACCTGAGAGCATCCTCTACCGCAAGTTCACCACCGAGAGTGACGTGTGGAGCTTTGGTGTGGTGCTCTGGGAGATCTTCACCTATGGCAAGCAGCCCTGGTACCAGCTCTCCAACACTGAGGTCAGCCCCTCCCGGGTCATACATGCCTTTCATGTCTCTGCAGGTCCCCTTCTTGCTGCCCACCCCTAGCCCCCAGCCCGGCCACTGCTTAGAAGTCCAGCAACCTGCAGACACTGTGCTCTCTCTCACTCTCTTCCCACAAACCTTCTTCTTTTCCTTTCTTTCTCTCCCAGCCCTTCCTTCATTTATTGTCTTTAGCTCAGGGTCCTAGCTGGCTCCTGGGGGAACCTCTCAATGCATGTTGTCAGTGGAGTCCAGACCCCCATCCCTGGCTGCATTTCATAGACTTAGTAGGCATTATCAGGGTGAGAGGGACAGGCAGGGGAAAGAGGGTCTGACACTGCAGCAGGAAGAATGGAGGTTAGACTCTCAGAAGGACAGTCCTGTCCCTCCCCTGCCCTCCTGGCTGGCCATGGTCAGAATAGGCCCCAGGTGTTCTGTCTCCCAGAGTAGCTCCACCAGCCCCCTCTTGGCTCACAGCTGTCAGTTTCCATTTCTCCTCCTAATGCAGTCTGTTCCCTGGAGGCTGGTTGGGTGGGGGAGAGGGTTATAGATTTTAATTTTCTCAAGCACTGAGAGAAGGAATGGAATTAGTGCCGCCCATAACCCAAGTCCTCTAATGGGGAGGGGGAAGAAGGGTGAAGAAGCTCCAGGTCCCTTCTCCACTCATCTCCCTGCCATCTTTGGATTCCTTAGCTGCTCTAGCAATCCTAACTTTGATCTTTCTTGCTGTAGTTTCTTTTCAGGGGAGCTAGGTCCCCACAGAAGGGAGAAGGAAGTAGGGGTAACTTCAACTTTAAAATGCAAGCCAGACATTTTTCAAGGTCTTTAACTGCAATTCTGCTTTATTTTCTTTTTTCCTTCTGGAGTTTAGTGGCAAAACGACCCTTCCCCTCCTCCTTTTGGCCCCTAATATGCAGCTGATGGACTTTGCAAATGCTCTGGTCCTTGCTTTCTTCATCCCACCTGGCAAGTCTCTGGGTCTGACTCCAGCCTGCTGGAAGCAATCCTATCCAGGCTTCCCAGAGTATCGAGTGCATCACGCAGGGACGTGAGTTGGAGAGGCCGCGCGCCTGCCCACCAGAGGTCTACGCCATTATGCGGGGCTGCTGGCAGCGAGAGCCCCAGCAGCGCCACAGCATCAAGGATGTGCATGACCGGCTGCAAGCCTTGGCCCAGGCGCCTCCTGTATACCTGGATGTCCTGGGTTAGAGGCTGGCCCATGGGCTGGGGCCTGCCTCAGTCACCTCTTCAACTCCCAGCAGCAGCCCCAGGGTGATCTCAAAGCATCTAACTCACCCCCAGCATGCAGAGGGGACAGATAGGGGCTGGGAATGGAGGATGTTCCTTCTTCTTTAGGCCAGGTTCCATCATAGCAATTATATTTATTATCCCTGGTTGTGTCTCTTTCCAATTCTTGGGATGACGTCGCTCTGGGAAAGGGGCAGTGGGACTCAGGTAGGGGAATTGCTCTCTGAGGTCCTCCCGAACTCTAGTTCCTCTCAGCTGCTTCCCCTGCTCCATGCAGCTGTCACCCCACCACGTGGCTGTGGTCCCTGCCCTCCCAGGGGTGAGGCAGTCTCCAGTCCAGCCTCTGATCCTCCCCTCCGAGGCCCCTAGATCCTCAAGGCTTATCTCTGCACTTTGTTTTCAGGAAGTTGCTGCGGCAGGGGAGGGGGAATAGGTGTCCTAGGGAATTTGATGGCAGCAGTGGGGGTGAGTCTTCCTTGTCCTGGTGTGCCAAAGACGGAGCAAGCACACAGTCAAACAAGTGGACAAGAGAGGGGAGAGGGACTCCTGTTCCTTCCCCTTGGTCCCTCTTCTAGGGCCATTAGTGTCTGAAGGCTGGGATTGGACAAGGTGGCTGTTCCCTAAAGACAATCATAACTCTGTCCCATTCTGCCAAAGGGAGAGTCTCCCCTTGGAACTTTCACTCACCACTGACCTTATCTAAGTGGTTTGAGGCTTCTTTCTTTCTAAGTTCCCCCAGCTCCTTCACAGGGGGGAACATGAGCTCTGCTTCCATCTTCCCCACCCAAAAGTTTGCGCTCTACCCCAGAGCCAGGGAGGAGCAGCTTCCCCGACAGCCAGCCCCATCACTTCCAATCACCTGCCCAGCTCCTGCAATAATGCACACTCCCACAGCTCCTCAAGGCTAATCGTGGCTGTCTCATGTCCCTGGGTGCCCAGTTCCCCACTCCGCCCCTGTGATTCAATCTGGGTCTTATCACCCCCAGGCCCAGCCCAGTGGTGTGTCTGCCTCTTGTCCAGGCTGGTTACTGCTAATGGAACTCTGACCCAGGGCAGCAGGTTGATTGATAGGGGGTGGTAGGATTTGGTCTCTAAGGGCTAAATTCACAGGTCCCCTCCCACACCTCCTAGGGTGGGTGGCACTCCACCACCTTGTAAGAAAGGGCATGGGAGCATGGCTAGAAAGACAGAGTTGGGGATCAGATCCAACAGGCAAAATTAGGGACAGATGCAAAGAGAGACGGTGCAGAGAAAGACAGGCCAGGAGCTACAGATATGGCGGCCTAAAGAGAGACTGCAGAGGGAGTCACATGGATGAAATGATACAGGCAGAGGGAAAGAAGGAGACAGGGAGCGAGACAGGGACAGATGGATAGAGAAGGACACAGAAGGAGAGACAGGGGCAGAAGATTGCTGCACAGACACAGAAGGGCACTGCTGGCTCAGGTTCCAGAGGACTCTAAGACTCCTGTGAGGCTTTGCTCTCAGTCCTGCTTCCCTTCACTACCTCTGCCCTTTGAGCCTCTCCTCCAGGAGAAGAGGAGGGATACCTCCAGATTGGGATGCTCTGCAGGGAAAGACATAGAGGGATCTGAGGTTCACTCATCTTGAGAGGGATCAGGGTCATGGCTAAGGCAGGGGTTGGAATTCAGGTAGCCAAAGGGACTCTGCCAGGGAATATGGAGCATTTCCAAGGTCAAGAGCATAGACATCAGAGGCTCCTAAACCATAGCTGGAGGCATTGGTGGAAAATCTGGGCAGGTGGGTGAGGGGTTACGGGAATGAGGTTTGGACAGAGGGAAAATTCTGGGAGAGCATGGGAGAGGGAACTAGATAGCTTTTATTAATCTAGGAATAGGAGCTAAGGCCACATGTCAATCCCTTCAGGTCAGGTGGATCTGGGACTTGTGCTGAGGGCAAGGAAGGGGCCTGTACCTGCATTGTTAGCCTGTGGCCTGCAGGCCCTGCCTGCCCTTCATTGGTGGATATGCAGACATGCACATCACCAGGCACCCTGGCTTACCAGGGGCAGACACATGTGCAGACACCGTGTGCCCTCTCCATTGCCATTTGGATCCATTGTCATTAATGATGTTCCCACCCTGTTGTGGCCCCTGCCCCCTCCCTGTTAATTACCTCCTGGCTGTGCCAAGTCCATTAACTGCCCCCACATATACCCCAGGGCCTGAGCACCAGCTGAGATGGATGGCTGCAGGGGGATCGATTGAATGGGGCCCTGAGGACCCTCTAGGGGGGCTGGGACCAGGACAACAACCTGAGGCTGTGATTGGACATCTGGCTCTCCCAGACCTGGCCTTGACCCCTCCCTCCACCCTTTCTTCTCAGAGAGGGCTGCCCCTGCTGGAAGACAGAGGCTTAGCAAGGCTTGGGGATCCTCAGAAGCACTCAGCACTGAAGAAAGGAGCTAGACTCCCCTCTTTAAGCTAGCCTTGGCTAGTTCTACTTTGGAGAAAAGGAATCAGTGGTGTAGAAGCTAATGGGGCTCCCTAGGGGCCCTGGCACTGGGACGGGGGTCTCTGAAGAACATTGGGGGTTCTCTGGGCCTCTGCTTCCTTCCTGCCCTGTCCCTCAGGACTGGCTTCCCGACAGGAGAGCAGAGCATCTGCTCAGCTTCCAGTAACAGGCAGGCTGGGTACTGGGGATGTCTGGGGGAGATGTCCTGCCCTGGGCTCCCTTGGGCATCCAGGCTGAAGAGGGAATCCAGACTGCCTAGGCTCTGGGCACTCTTGGTACCCACTGGAGAAAGGCTTTCTTGTCACATTCCTGAAGTGGCCTTGGGCAGGAAGGGGGATAGTCCTCAAAGGACACTCAGGTTCTCTTAGCAGTACATGAGGAGGTGGCTCCATTGCTCCAAGCATTGTCCCACATTGTCTCTCTGCCCCTTTCTCTGCCCACCCCAGCTCTGCCAGACTCCAGTGCTAAGCACAGAGTTTGGATGGCAAGGGCTCTGGGGGCATGGTGGTGGGGTGGGAAAGAGGTCTTGACAGTGGGAAAGACAGACAAGCCAGGGTCTCCACTGAAAGACCCGGAGGGACTGAACTGGGCAGCATAGAGTAGTGCAGAGACCTGGCTGTGCCAGACAGAGCCCAAGATTCACAGAAGTGGGCGTCTCAGGGCAATCAGCTTTCTTCTGAGCTCTGCTCTTAATCCAGCCCTTGGAACAAGAGGCTCTGCAACACACCTCCCACTGAACTGAGCCCCCTTCCTTTCCTTACAGAGTTGTGCTCCCTGGTGGTAGTGGTTGTGATGCTTACTAGCTGTGTCACGTTGGTCAAGTTACTCAACCTTTTTGGTCCTTAGTGTCCTCCTCCACAATATGGGAATAATAACTGGGCTAACTTCACAGGGTGCTTCTGAGGTTTGAACAAGTCCCGTGTGTGAAGCTCTTCTGATAAGGCCTAGCCATAGCAGGTGCTGTGTAAATGTCTGCTAGTCTTATTACACTTGTTCCCACTCCTCCTGCCTCTTGCTCCTCCTCCTCCTTTCCACACTACTTCAGGCAATGGACACTCCAGCTCAGGCCCTGGCCTGATATTTAGGATGGGACAGGTTCTGTGTTTTAGGGGCACACTACTTGAGAAGAGAAGCTTGTGATCGTGATTCCAGTCACACTCTTGACCTGCAGCTGCTACAGAGAGGGGAACATGTGAGGTGAGGATGGGGCTGTGGGCTCCAGGACTCTGTGCCACCCACGAGGCCATTGTGGAGGAAGAGTCCCCAGTGCTGTGGGGGAGGGCAGGGCCAGAGCCACCTTGCCCCACTGCTCCCTTCACTCCAGTCCTCTGACTCCCTGATTTTCCCTAGTGGGAATGTTCCTCCTGGTTCACCTCCATAGGGCAGCCCTTAGGGATTAGACAGGGACCTTGGCTCCTCATAGGTACTTCTGGGTCACAAATCTTCACAGACCAATCAGGTCTCCAGTAGTATTGATCTGGGAGAGGAAAATATATTTCCAAAGCTTTCTATTCTTTATCCCTATGGCCTTCCATTCCTGACTGCCAGGAAGTCCTTTCTGCAGTCTTCCCACCTGGATCTGAAGGGGTTACCCAGCTCCAGGCCTGCCCACTGCAGGTCTCAGCTGCCTGGGGCCTGTGGTCAGGGCTAATGTAGGCGAGAGTTAGAGGACAAGAGGGGATAAAGTTATTAGTGTCTTCATCTTTGCGGGATATCGATTGTCAGGTCTCCAAGCTCACTTGGTCTTATAACGGGGCACACAGGGATATTGGGGAAGGTACAGAAAAGTCTTAGAGAGTCCCCCCAATATCTTAGAATAGGAGGCCTGCTTTAGGGAAGTCCTTTGGGGGCAAGGGCTCTGGGGAGGCAGAGGGCAGGGGGCTTTGGGGTGTCTGGGGCAAGAGGCAGACTGGAACGGGCTGGGTTTTGGTCCACTGCATTTTGTTTAGGGTAGGAGTTTGTGTGTGTGTGTGTGTGTGTGTGTGTGTGTGTGTGTGTGTGTGTGTATGTGAGAAAGTTCACAACTGAGCTAGAGCAATTCATGACAGCCCAAGAAGGGAGAAGAAGGGGTCCTTACTGCTGAGGATAATATACCCTCAGCCCATCCACCAGTCTATCATTCAGGCAGAGCCCCTCCACCAGCACTGGGCAGTCTGTGACACCCTACTTGTCCTTCCAGGCAGCCATTGGTGTTCCTTTGAACAGGACGTTCTCAATGTGACTATGTTGGAAGCAGTGGCGACTTTGGTCCCAGTATGTCTGGTTTTGTTTTGTGTGCGGCAGTCCCTGTGAGAAGATTTGTGTAACACTGCCTCTCTCCCTGGGTTTGTGCACATTCTTGTCTATCCTGAAATCAGAAGAGATACAGACGAGGAGGGGCTCAGGGCTATGGCTGTCCTTCTTTTCCAAGCAGGACCCTCTGTGCACATTTATAGCCAGAGCTTTCCCAGCTCCTGGTGGACCACGGGGGAGGATGAAGCTAAGATTGCAGAGGACTTTGAGAAGTGACAGCCCTAGAGAGGGAGATATAGGAGAAGGCAGGCTGGGTGTCAGGCAAACTTTCTCCCTCTCTCTTTTCCTTCCTTCCTTCCTTTCTTCCTTCCTTTCTTCTTTCCTTCCTTCCTTCCCTCCTTTCTTCTTTCTTCCCTTCCTCCTTCCTCCCTCCCTCCC